AGGTTTAGGACACTCAGCATAAACTCTCTCAAGAGCTTCAACTTGTTCCGGCGTGTATCTAACGTACTTGCCGGAATCAAATCCTTTGTCAGGAGAGTCTCTATCGTCCATGGAGTGAGCCATCATAACTTCCAACAAGTCGTAGAAATCAGAGAGAGAGAGGGTTACAAAAAGAAGAATAAAGATCGATACTTTAAGGGAAATAAACGAGACCCAGATGAAGAAATTAGAATGGTAGGCTCTCTGAGAAGAGAGAGCCTTCTTTGAGAGTGTTCATGAGATGGTAATGGTTGGGGAAAAGAGTTTTTTGGGTATTTTTCATTAGCTCAAAGGAAATGAAAGATGGAAAGAGGTAAAGGAGCAAAAGCGAGGCAGCTAAGTAGAGAGACTAGAGGAGAGAAGAGAGAGGAAAATACTGAGAAAAAGTAAAGTAAAGATCTTTCTGAGAAAGAAAGGACAAGCAAGAACACAACAAGAAGCACTAAACGGGTAAATATTATTTTTTTAAGGTGAAATTTTTTAGAGTAGGTTGAATTCAATGTTTTTGGTTTAAAGCTTTTACTGTTGAGGAAAAGTAAAAAAAAAATGAGAAAGCTTGAATTTTATGCAAACTGTTTTTATAATGCCAACTACATGTGAATATCATTAGTTAAATAAATATTTGTAATATTGAATTAGATTAACAATTCATTTTAAAAAATTTGATTTGTCTGTACTTTTTTTTGTTTCTTACATCTCTTTTAAATAGGTTTTACTATGACTATGAGATGGAATCACTTAAATACTTCTCCAATTTCATATCATTATTTATCACCTAATTATCCGTGTAAACATGTTTCTGTATTCAATATTCTTGGATTAGATTAAAAGGACAAGTAGATGTTGACAAAATTAATGGATTGAAAGTGATTAGTTTTGAAAAACTTAAATGCATTCAGATTTCAGAGTAAGGAAGGCTAAACACAGATAGATGACAAAACCAACACGCAATGTTGTCTCTGCAAGTTTTAAGACATTTCAATTATTATTAGAATCCCTACTAATGCTAATCAACAAGACGAAATTTGTTTATTTATTGGTAAGATAAATAAATTCATACTACAACTATTTCTATTCGTAAAACGTAAGTGTTGTTGTCAGAAGAAACGGAATTTTGACGAAATGGGGTAATTTGCTAACTTAGGGAAATAAAGCAGTTCTCTTTAAGCTCTGTGACAGTGGCCTACCCAAACATAGCATCAAATTTTCTCTACCCTCTTGCTCACTAGTCCTAAGATGATGCTAATGATGATGTATGTATGTATGTGCATGTACATATCTCCATGATGATGGTGTTGTTCTTCTATGTCTATCTTTTGTATCCATGCGGAAGAGATGATGCATGACAAGTATGTACAATGTCACTATGCGCGTGAGATGCGTGAAATATGTTTTCCTTTTTAATTAACGTTAAGTATTTTAGTTTTTGTTCTTTAACTTGTTTTAAAAGTTTTGAATAATAAATTATGAGAAAACAAAGACAGGTATGCCTTTGCTGGGGGTACAAGTGTACAACCTGTATTTTTGGTTGGTTACGATTTTTCAATTGGTTTGTATCCATTTGTCCAAACATTGTTTCTTTTGTATACTTTTTGGTTTTCTTATAACTTTCTATGTTTTTTGGATAGAAATCTAAACTATATATAGGGATTTTATTTATTTATTTCTTATGTGAATTGTATTATATATGCACAAAATACAAGATTCATCACCTAGTATGAAGGATTTCGATCATCATACATGACCAATTAACGAAACTTTTTACTTATATAGTTAATTTGATATTTGAAGTAGAAAACTATGGAGAAGTAGATCCATCGAAATACTATACAAGTAGAAGCTCTTAATTATGAGGGTCATGTTTTACATTTCATATATTTCTCTGCGCATTTTTCCTGCTCAGATAGGATAACTATTTCGTCGAAAACCGAGTAAACTAAATCCAAAACTTTCTGCCTTCCAAATAGATTTCCAACGATAAATACAAAATGGAGGCAGAAGCAACACATGTGGATGTGCTTTGCTCCTCTAATGTCTCTGGTTTACTCAGAAGGTTTGGTCTGACGCCTCGAGTCGATCCTACAAAACATAAGAAAACAAGCTAAACATATTAAATCCAATATTCAACATGTACGAGCAAGAACCAAATCTATCATCACTAAATATTTTTGTTATCTTGGCGAAAACGACATCATGAAATACATGCATGTTGCATTGTCTGTTTATAAAGGAACAAAGATTCATGACGAAAAAAAAAAGGAACAAAGATTCAATTTATATATATATATATAACTTGTAAGTTTCTATCATTTTTAGCTGATTAGTAAATGTCACTGCAAGAAAAAAAAAAACGTGTACGATATTTAATGGAAATATTATTGATGAATGTAATAACATCGTCAAAACAGTGAAATTGTGAAAATATATATTAAGAAAAATGAAACTCTTGATATATTAATTGGGCGAGAAAACTCCAAAACTAATTTTCATATAAAAAAAAATGTGTAAATAATAAAGGGAAGTAGAAGGTCATGTGAAGTCTCATCATGAGTTCTTACTTTGTGCATGCGCTTCGATTTTCTACATGGCAGTTTCGCAGATATTCCCACTTTACCATGTCTTTTGCATTTTAATTTGTATTTCAAATTTACACTACTTAATAAGTAATTGTTATCTTAATCAAAAATAATAAACATAGAAATCGTGTTACTAAAGCTCTTTCTTAATAAATTCTTCCTTTCTGTTAATAAAGAACAACACACTATAATTAAATTATTAGCATACTTTACGTACGAGAGTATATTTCGCGCCACTAAAAAGCAACATATAGAGAGAGCTTTTTTTTTTTTTTTTTTTTTTTTTTATAGAGAGAGCTTTTTACTAGATATTAGGAAATAGTTCAAAGAAAATCACGTATCTCTCTAACATTCACGGACAACAGACGGACGAAAACCCTAGTCTCCAGCCGCCAAGCTTTGATTTTTCCGTTTTGCCCTCCCCGGCGGCTGGGCTTCTCGCCGGAGCTGTGGGAGGGTCTTAGATCTTTGTCTTGCTTCTTAGTTTTGTTTTTAACTAGCTTTCTCCGGTGATTCAAAGGTATTTGCAAAGGGGGATGTTTGTTTGGTGAAGAATCGGTGGATGGTTGGCGGCGGAGGTTTCGTGGCCTCCTTTCTCGTGTTCTTTGCTTCATCTCCCGCTTTTTCTTTGGATTTCTTGGCTTAGATCTGTTGATTTTGGTGTTGTTGTGGCCTTGTCGTCATATTCCTCTTTGAAGAGATGATCGTTTGAAGGAGGGAAAGCCATCGTCGGTGAGGCTTGGTGGTGGTTAGTGTCTGATCTGGTGGTGGTCATGTGGCTGGTGGTTTCAAGGTGACGGACTCGTTTCGTTTCTTGTTCTGGTATTTTATTTCTCTCATCTCTCTCTTCTTTGGTTGGTGTTTCTCGACAAGGATTTGTTAGTAGTATGGTTGGTTGAGGGTAGAAGCCTTAGTTTCAAGTTTAGGGATGGCAATGTTGACTCCTAGTTCTGCCTCCTGTTACTTTCTGCCCGGTTATTGGGGTTATGAGTTTGTGAAGGTTTCGTTTTGTGGGTTCTTCATTTGGATGGTAGTCTCCTGCAAAGGCATCTACTAGCCCTCTTCTTTTTCCTTGTTTGGATTTAAGATTTGAGTTCAAGACGATGTGGTAGGCTCGGTCTCTATTCCTTCTCTTGCGTGGCGTAACCAGTTCTTAGGCTGTAGATGGTTTTGGCTGGGTCTACGAATGTCCGCGTGTAAGGTTTGTTGGCCCTCTTTGGCGTTTTCCCCTTCGGATCTCAAGGCTTCTCCTTGTCCCTTCTCCTGCTTGTCTTCTCTGGTTTCTGGTGTGGTAGTGATGGTTAGGATCTGTGCTCTGATCCTCTTTTTATCTGTGCTCGTTTCTGCTCGGGGTGTGGTTGTGTGAGCTTGGTTTTGTATCCTTCTCGGGCCTTTCATGTAAAGGCAATCTAATGATGGGTCCTCTTGTTGCTCCTGTTTGTAACCACTTTCCAGCGCCCAATATGTTCTATGAAAATGTTCGTCGGATTCTTTTCGTGAAGAGTTTGCAGTTGTGTTGCTTGAGTCTTAGGTATTAGCCTTTCCCTGTACTTTAAGGTTTTCCTTCTTTTATGTCTGCCTTTTTTGGCCTTTGTCTCTGGGGGTTTCTATGTACCCGCCGGCTTAGTTTTCCGCGGGTTAGAGTCCCGCCGGCGTTAGTATTTCACCATGTATCCCAACTTTGTATTTCTCCTTTGGTTATATTTCATGAATTATTCAGACGAAAAAAAAAAAAAAAAGAGCTTTTTACAATTTTTGAGTTGTTTATTCTTTTCATTTTCATTAATAGCTCGATTAAGATTATTTGACGTGTGTGTGAGTGTCTCTTACCTTTTTATGTGTGTTTTGTTTCTTGGAAGTGGAAACTACAAACCAGGGTTCTCTTAATCAAACTCACGACATGTGTCAAGAACCAAAAAGATAGTACTAGACATGATCTGTAGTGTGTTTAAGCTAAAAAGAACATCATAACTTATTATTAATTATCATAAACACAAACAGAAAAGTACACAAAAATAGTTTATGAAAAATGTTTTAGGATGATCTTACTGATAAGGAAAAAATCTGTAAAAGAAGAAATCAGATTTTTTTCACCTTAAAAAAAGACTAATGTCAAACCTTTTGGGACGATGTTGATCTTTAAAGTCAACATTGCTTTTTTTCTTCAACATCATAATTATTCTCCATCCCTGATTAGTGATTATTTCAATCCGAGTGTTCTTTGATGTTTTGCTTTTCAAAAATTACAAAAAATATCTAAAATTGTCATTGTTTGTGGATTCTTCCATTTTTCGTTTTATTACCAAAATTTCTTACAACAAAACAATATAAGTAGCATTGTACTATTTAACTAAACTTTATGACATTTATTTATTTCCTTTCTTCCTCAGTGGGTTTTATTTAATAATCACAAGTCTAAATCCCACTTCACGTTTACCTAATTGCTCCCAAGAACCTATCTATACCTTTCTACAAAGATTTGTATATATCATAAACTAAAGACATAGATGATCTGAGACCAAACAGAGCCAAAATACAACAAAGCTACTTGTATGACCTTCTCAAGATGTACCACTAGAAGCAGCCATGGCGGATTTATCAGAGCTGAGGTTGGAATTTTCTTCATGACTACTGTCTTCGTGATGCTCATCGTCCTTCTTGGCATTTAGAAACCGACCGCCACATCCTCTTGGTCGTCTTATCGCATGCAAATGCCGAGATTCATGCAAATATGGCTGCAAAATACACTCTCAAGATTTACCCAAATGAAGTAAGATATCATAACAAAAACGCGATTTTATAAAGTGTTTTTACCTTACGTGACTTGATGACTTTATTCTGAGACTCAAGTCTTGCTCTAGATTGCCTGCGCCTTAGTATACCGTGGTATTGCTTTGCGTTAACAAAAACAGGTTCCTCGACTGCATCAGATGGTAAAGGAACACCTTGTTGCTGCATTCCCATCAACTGTAGATGTACCTGAAATGATATGTAATAAGCTGTTAACATAAATCCAACTGTCTATTACATATAGACGATCAGAAGCATCGTCGTAGTGGACTGAGTAATACACCATACCCCGGTATATGGTTGTGGAAGCGGTGCAAAGATGCTTCTGTAGTAAGGATCTGGATATGGATATTGTCCAGGTGCCTTCAATTTTAAGAATACATACACACACAAAAGAAAACAATGTTTTGTTACTTCTATATCGTCTGAAAATGCAGAAAGGTGATATTAATGGTGCCAAGTAGTAGTTAAACCTACAAATTATCAACTAGAAGGTCTAAGGCTACATATGACGAGCAAACTCGAATTAGCTTCAAAGGCAAGGCAATCAAAGATTTGGATTTTAACTATCGACGAAACTCATTAGTAATAATCACGAGATGTGTGATAAAACATTTCTTTTTACAGCGAGTTTCAAGAAATGAAGTTTGGTTTTTGGAAGTTGAGAGATGTTTTTTACCATGGAATGTGTACTCCCCGGGTGAGGAACCGGTTCCGAGTAGACTAAACTTGTAGCAATTGATTCATAATTTCTTCCAGGAGGAATTGGTGGTTGCAAATGAGAATCTCTCTGTTCTTGCTTCTCATGACTTCCAATGTTATCTGGACAAGAATACACCAAACTTAACAAGAGAGCACCACCAAGAATCAGTAACACGAAAACCACATGAACTATAGAACAAGCTTAGGTTAAAATCTATGTTTCAGCAAAGCTTCTGAAAACAGAACCAACTTGAAATAAGACAAATATAAATAAGGAAGAGAGAAAGAGAGAAAGCAAAAACCAGAAAGCTCATGGATTGAAGAAGTCATGACTCATTAGCTTAATGTCCGAAGCAGAATTCTGAAAAGTTCCAAAGAACAGAGTCAGTACATGATTCTTGAAAAAACCTATTAAATAAATTCAAGAACCAGAATTATCAAATCCCCACAAAATCATTAACCTCGTATTTAAACTAAACAAGTCAAGCTACTTAGAAAAATCACGGAACCAAATCAGAACATAATCACAACCCACAAATTCATAATTAACAACAAAAGCTGATAAACCATAAACCTATAATTCTAAAACATCAAAGCAAAATTCTAGCAAAACAAGTCAAAAGTTAAGAATTTCAGAACCAAAATAACAAAATTTACCTCTAATTTTCTATTTTGAATTTACCTCTCTGCAATTTTCTATGACGATTAGAGAAGAGAAGAAAATGAAGAACAGAGAGAGAGAGAACGAGAGAGTGTCGTTTTCTTCCCCTTCCTCTGTTCCTCAAGTTATTCCGTACTTTTTCTATTCCCAAACTTCAGAGCGTCCTTCTCCATCAGTCTAAAACATCATGACGTTTTCTTTCTTCAGCAAGTAGAGAAACGGCAGGGTTTGTAACAATTGATGCGGACGCAATATCGATCGTACAAGTGGAGAATTAGAGCGGCGTTTTAGATTGCACGTAGCAGATTACGGGCAGATCTATTATTTTCTGACCGAAGCAGCTCACTTAACTGATTAAGTCCACGGGGACCTAACCTCTACCCGTTGCCCGATACTTATTGGTATTTCTGTTGCGAGTCATCGTAAGCGAAACCGGTTTGCGTTTGTTCGAATTCTAGAGACAAGAAATTAATCTCGGTTTGTTTTGATACAGACTCGGTTTACACTACACTAATTCGATAGCTGAACAAAAGCCAGAAATTGAAAATCCTTACGTTTTGATAAACCGATGATATTATTATCTTGTTTATATAAACTCTCTAAATTTCATAAAAATGACTTTAGGCTATGACTCATACCGATTCGAATAGATATGTAATATTCTATAACCTTTGGTTAGGTTTACTGTAGCACATGAAAGATAGAATTATACTCAACTTTAAATACCTTTCGTCGTTTTCTTGATGTCTCATGAGTCATGTCATTACATAAATGATCCATTGATTATTCTCTGAGAATATTCCAAAGAATCTCTCTACTCAGACCAACAAATTTCAGATATTATCATGTTCTAAAAGTAGAACAACATCAATTCAATTTATTACGATTCTTAAATCAAAAATCAAAAACAGCAAAAGACAAATAAAGAGCTCAATAGACTTCAACGTGCCACTGCTTGTTCTTCCTAAGCTGAGAAAGCTTCAAGTCCCAGCTCTCACCTCTCTCCTCTGCAACTCTCTTAAGTGTATCTTGAATCCCAGGCATCATTCCTTTAAGCCCACAGAAGTATATATGAGCTCCATTGTCCAATAGCTTGAAGATCTCATCACTATATTCTTCAATCTTGTCTTGCACATACATCTTTCCACCTTTCTTGTTCTTCTCCTCTCTGCTCAATGCCTTGTCGAACCTAAAGTTCTCTGGATGGTCCTTTAAGTACTTGGTAAACTCATCGTCATAGAGAAGGCTATCGGTGTTGGCCACACCTAAGAAGAGCCAAGCTAAGCCGCTAAATGTCTTGTTTGGGACGTTTTCCATGAACATTCGACGTAGGTAGCCTCTGTAAGGAGCCACTCCTGTTCCCGTGGCTATCATTATGTGTGTCGCGTTTGGATCAGACTCGGGTAATAGCATTACCTTCCCAGATGGACCTAGTTTCGAAATGTATATTGAGTAAAAATACACTTATACAAGAGGTCTTTGAGTATGTGATTTAGTATGTTGGCTAATTTTGTTAACATACCGGTGATTTGAATCTTGTCTCCGGGCTTTGAATCACATAGGAAGTTGCTGCAGACTCCGTTCTTTGAAGGATCTTCTTTTCCAGTCTCGGGATCGTAATAAACAGCTCTACGTACACACAAACTCGCTGTTTTACCATCAAAGAAATCTCCATACCTTGTTGATGCAATCGAGTAAAGGCGCACATTGTGTGGAGCTCCCGGTTTCTTCGGGTTCTCACCCTACACGCACAGAATCCAGTTCATTAATAGATTTAAAGGATTAAGAATGGTGGCAACAATTTGAAGACAATGAAACCATATAAAAGTACAAGGGACATGACTTACGGGAGGAATCACACCGTAACTCTGCCCTTCCCAGTAAGGAAGGTTACCGTCATGATCGATTACGATATGACAAGTTTCTCCCGGGGCTTTTGGGCCAACGACTCGCTCCACGGAGACAATCTTAGCGGTGTAAGACTCCTTGGGTTTGTACAAGTTCAAAGGAGGATCCTTAGGGTCTTCCAAGTCTATAGGAGAGACAGAAACCTTGGAACTACTTGTCTGTTGAACCGACATGCATATTGTCGTGTTGGTGTACCGTTTTGCATCTCTTATGCTTGTTGTCTTCTGGTTCAATGCTAAGGAAGATGACCATGACTTGCTGTTAAAGCTTATGCTATTGTTCTGCTGCAGAATGAAAAAGTGGTACAACACAAAGCAAGCGATGGTTTAAGATCAAACTCAAACAAAGACAATCTCAAGGAATGTGAAATAACCAGGGGAAACAAAACAAAAGACATGATGAAGAAACAATCTGAATCAAAGGTTCTATATAAAGACACAGCTAAAGCTTGAATCTTTATGTTATATATGAGTGATTAGATGCATCACCTTGAAGACAGATCTTCTAAGAGAACGTTCGTTTCCAATTGAAATTGAGACAGCACCAGCCTGTATAGAAAATTCAAACTATAACTCTTTTCTGATAACAAATGAAACTCAAATACAGATCACTAAGACAAAAGCCTAAACCCAGATCAAAGATCATAATATAAATTCAAAAACTTTCCCTCGTTTTCTCCGAAAACAGACAAAAGGAACACATAAAACCCAAATCAAATCCTTAAACAAACAAAAGAATCATAAATCTACGACACAGAACCAATCGTTGACTAAAAAAAAAGGAAAAAGTGGGAGGATCTGACCTGAGAAACAGCAGAGTGAGACATTGTTGTTATCGATCGGAGAAAGGATCAGTTAGTTTCCGTCGGAATCTGATTAGAGCAATCAATATAATGGATTGGAGGAAGAACTAGGGTTTATAAATACAGTAAGCAAGACGATCCTTTGATACTCGTCAAAGGCCAAGCTTCTCCTTTCTCCTCTCTTTTGGACTCCTCCAACTGACGCTCTCTGTCACTTCTTAATTAATTTCTCTTATAATTAAGCTTTTAAATTAATTAATTGTTATCGTCACTCTTATTAATAATTAAGCATAAAAACCAAACCAAAGTGACAAAATGTTCCCAAACCGAACCTATTCAAACTTGTTTTCTGAACCGAACATACGTTACACACCAAACTGGTCCAAACATAATCAATAACCAACCAAAAGATTAGTATCTGTTTTCTAATTCAGATGATAACATCTTTATTTTTTGAATCGATTCAGCAAATTATAGACAAAACCAAATAATAATAAAAAAAAACACGATTTTACTTGGTATTATTGACGTTGTTATGAATGTGATCACAATTAACAGAGGAATTTTGTGTTTTCGGGTATCCAAGAAAATAAATGAGAGCAGAAGCGACCATCAAAGCCACGCCGGAGACTCCACACACCAAGCTGCCCACAACCAGCACGTGATTCATCACGTGATCATCATCCTGCTCTTTTGATGACATCTTCTTCATTGGAGATTTCACCGCACTCGGAAATATCGAGCTAGACGGTGATGACGACGAGGTAAGCTTATTTGAAGAAGGTGGTCCGAAGAATGACGTCATCTCTGATGACTCGCCTGGTTCGTAGTAGTACTCAAGACCGTGATCGGAGGGTCGTAATTCTCTTGCATTGATAATCGTTGATTCTAGGACGATGAACACGATCATCATTGAAACCAACGGTGGAAACTCACTCGTTTTGTGTGCAGCCATTTTTCTTGTTGAAGTTTTTGTCTTAGGCTTAAAGAGAGTTTACAAGACCTTCCCGTGAAGGAAGGAAGGCTTTATACGAGAATCCAAACAAGACGAAACGATTCCGTTTTAAGTTACTTCAATTGCCACTACATTCGACAAAACAAATATATTTTTATTCCACGTTTGCTAAGAACAGTGTCTCTCGACTCTTGTGCTTTTGTCTGAATTTGGTATAAATAATTCTCGTGAGTTTCCTTGTCGGAGATTGGCCCTAAATTCACGGGGATAAACACAATTTAAGAAAGAAAAAACCCACCGATTGTTTGTTGTGAAATTTTATTTTTATTTTTCCAGTTTGAGTTTTCCATAGACTGTATATCGAGGGTATTTTTGTCACCGAGTTAGAAAATAGCTATAACTTTTTTTTTAAATGGCGTGAAAAAGGTAAAATAACAAGTAACTAGCAGTAGCAGTTATAGTTGAGTGGTATCCAAGGTTCTATTTCGTGAAAGCAAAGAAGAATCCTTGAAAGTTGTTTTTCAATCAATTAAAAAATTATAAATATCTAGAAACAGAAAAACAATGATATTTGGCATAAAGATAAAACAAAAGAAGTAAAGCTCAACAAAACTTCTACAGTTCTAAGTCTCAACTTTTAAAGCCTAATTAAAACAGCAGTAATTGAAACAAGCGTTTTAAAATACGTATGTAGGTAGATGTCCACACCTACAGAGGGACAAACTAGTTGATGAAAATATTGTCGAACTCCAAAATAAACATTTAACAGCTTTAAGTTGAATATCTATTTTACAGCTTTAAGTTCTATGAGGAATGTTTGACAAAAAAAAAAAAAGTTCTATGAGGAATAAAACATTTTTAGGAAATTTAGGGTAATTTAGGGTATTATTTAAACATTATACATTATAAATTAAAGAGAATTTATAGAAACTAACCTTGGATTCAAAAAGAATTCACAAACTAACCACGAGCTACAGTACCCTGTCTCTAACATGTCGGAACAGCTGTGTAATTACGTATATGTCCTTTGTAACACGCTTTTTTTTCGAATTACATGTGATAGCATAATATATCTCTTTTTATCATGTATTTTTCTCGTACTACATGTTATTTATAAAGAACACATAGTATTTCTCGGAAAAAAACATTATATTCAGTGTAATATCTGTCTTTATCATGTTATTTTGTAATAATACACGTGTTTTATTAAGATCACATGTGAATATCTGTCTTTACCATGTTATTTTATAATAATACACATGTTTTATTAAGATCACATGTGATTTCTTTTTTAAAAAGATGATTATTTTTTAGTAATACACGATTTGTTTTAAGATTACATGTGATTTCTTTTTAAAAAGTTACTATTCAGATTAAATTTTCCATGTCAATGTTTTTTCTTAAAAATTCACTATGTTTTTAAAAATATCATGTATTTTAGTTAAATATAACATGCGAAATTTAAATGTTACATGCTATTTTGAAAAATCTCACGAAACTGTCTCACATATCGTTGATCTTGCAACAAACGAAGGATAGTTTTGGTATTTCACATCATCCGACAAGGTGGGTCCATGGCTATTTTCCAACAAAAAACTTTCTCTCTGCTATTTTGTTAATTTGAGTGTTTTATTTGGCTATTTCTTAATATATCTCCCTAAATTAAACTACATGTTTTGAAAATAAAATTTACTCCTTTAACTATTTTCAACAATTGCACTTTGTATTTTTTCTGGAAAAAAAAATCTACAGATTTTCAATGATTAACTCTGTTGTAAAATCTTTTTGATTGTAATTTTAAAAATAAAAACTCCTTATAAGGTGTTACCTGTATATATATGCTACCTGTATATACATATTATATTCAGAAAAATCTACTGTAACAATATCTTAATTTTCAAATGAAAACGTGTTAGTTAATATCCTTTACTTTTTTTTGGCAACATAAATATTTTCCTTTATTTTATCAAAAAAAAAAAATTCCTTTACATCACTTGGTTTGTAATCATATATATATATACCCTTATATATTAACCTAATTTAAGATTTTTGGCTACACCTACGACGATGATCCCTGAAGAAGAAGTTGAGCCGCCGCTTCCACAGCTTCAGCATCTACCATGTGAATCGTTTTCGTCTCTCCCAAACGAAATCATTGTGAACTGCTTCGCACGTATCTCTAAAATGTATTACCCTTCACTCTCCCTCGTCTCCAAAACCTTTCGTTCTCTCATCTCTTCTCCAGAGCTCTACGCCGCGCGAATTCAATTCAAAACCACCGAGATTTGCCTCTATGTTTCTCAAGGGTTGCCAATTCGACAATGCTTCAGTCTCTTGGTAAACCCTAATCCAAATCTAACCGATGGTTGGAATAAGGAGAAATCAAGAGGAACTCTCTTTGTTCCTTTATTCAACTCTTGTCTTCTGTATTCAACTTCAACGGTAGTGGTCGGTTCGGAACTATACGTAATCGGTGCACCCATGCACGATATCTCTGAACCGTCTTCAGTTGTTCGAGTGTATGACTTCCGAAGTGACACGTGGCGCGATGTCCCTAACATGAAGATGAAGAGGTTAAACGCGTTTGCATGTCTTCTTGATGACAAGATTTATGTTATGGGAGGATGTACTACTTATTACGGGAACTCAAGTTGGTTCGAAATGTTCGATATAAAGAGTCAGACTTGGAGAAACCTACGGATGATTCCTGACATTAACATAAGATTAGCATATGATTGGAGAATCGATGCGGTGGAAGGAAAGATATACCTAAGGGATTGGGGTAAAGGTTGGATCTATGATGTGAATGAAGGTAGATGGATTGTTGCAGAGAGTAGCTTTACTTATGGGTGGTCAAAATATTGGTGCGTGATAGATGATGTGATATATTGTTACTCTGCCTCTGAATACGAATTGTATGAGGCATACAGATGGTATGATTTCGAGGCTAGAAGATGGAAAAGTGTGAATGGTTTGGAAGCATCGATGAAGCACTATACTGGTACTAGAAATATTGGTGATCGTAATATGGTTGGATTAGTTAATTATGGAGGAAAACTCGCAATTCTTTGGGATAGGATTGAGGAACTTGGTGAGAAGAAGAATATATGGTGCGCGGTGGTTACAATGGAAAAATGCCATAATGAAAGGGAGATTCGGGGGAAGATTGAGTGGGTCGATGTTTTGCTTACGGCCCCCAAGTCATATGAATTCTTGCGTTGTTTAGCCATTTCGATTTGATGACTCTTAGTAGCCACTTGTAGAGTCATTCATTTTAAAAAGCATGTGCTTTGTATTTGTCTATGACTTCTTGAAACACTTTAGTTGATTGTTTTCAATTTGCACGTACCGGTTGGAGAAAAATAGATAGATTATGACTATCTCTAAGCAATTTTTATTTATGGTTCAATATTCTGGTTGCAAGGTAAACTAATTAAGATATTGGTCAGTTACTAATCTGATACTAAAGCCCGTTTTTAATTGGGCCTGCCCTATATTCTGTCACGAAAGCCCAAACGCAAACGGTGATTCTCTTAACAGATAACATAAAGATAAGGAGAAGTCGCCACGTCATCAATGGAAAGAACACAAAAACGAATCTCTGTGGCTCCCTCTTCTTCTTCCTCCAGTAAAACTTCGATGACATTCAAAACATTGTGAATTTCATATTTTACCCTTCTCCGGAATGGCTAATCACTCTCGGCCTCACATCTGTCAGTGTTTGACACGGCTAGCTTCCGTCAAACGGAACGCCGTCGTCACAGTATACGGTCACCGGAGACGCACCGGCAAGGAGTTCGTCAACGGCGTACTGAGCCTCGCCGCCGGACTGATTCGTCTCGGCCTCCGCAACGGCGATGTCGTTTCTGTTACTGCTCTTAACAGGTCCAATGCGTAAATTATCTAAGAAAATTGTAAATTTTCAAAATTTGAACCAAGGAGTTAGGACTTAAAATTTGGGTTTTTTAGATTCGATTTTTGAATCTGAACCGTTGAAAGTTTGGTTTTTGTTATTTGTGGTGTCAGTGATTTGTTCTTGGAGTGGTTATTGGCTGTTGCATTGGTTGGAGGAGTAGTTGCTCCTTTGAATTACAGATGGGTCAGTCTCTGTTTTAAGAGTCCAGTATCTGCTTTAGTAGATTGTGTATGTGTAAAAGAAAGTTCCTGACACATATTTGGTGTTCTTGATGATTTATTTTTGTGAAAGGGCAGAGCTTGAAAGAAGCAAAGATGGCAATGCTGCTAGTAGAACCTGTGCTTTTGGTTACTGATGAGACATGTGTCTCTTGGTGCGTTCATGTTCAGAATGGAGATATACCTTCCTTGAAATGGCGTGTGTTGATGGAGTCTACTTCAACAGATTTTGCAAATGATGATAATCAGTGTATGATTTGTTTTATAAACCTTAAAACTCAAGAAGAGTTAAGAGATGCAATTGTGACTTCATTTGTTTTTTGTTACTGGCCAGTTTTGACAGCCGAGATGCTTAAACAGCGTACGCTGGTGCCTTCCTTACCAACGTACGCTTGGGCTCCTGATGATGCTGTTGTGATATGCTTCACCTCTGGTACAACATGTTTACTTGCTTCTTGTATTTTCCATAATAATCGTCAGTTTACTTGAGATCTCTTTTTTTGTTTCTTATTGGGATTAGGTACAACGGGAAGACCCAAGGGTGTCACCATAAGCCACTTGGCTTTCATCACACAGTCTCTAGCTAAGATTGCTATTGTTGGCTACGGTGAGGATGATGTACGCTTTTTTACCTTCAGTTATCTGTTTGTCCTCAATCAACTCTATAGAGCTGAATACTTCCATAAGTAAAGAGTCTCTTACATTTCTCTGTTTATCATGCGATCTTTTTTCTCTGCAGGTGTATTTGCATACATCACCATTAGTTCATATTGGTGGTCTGTCATCAGCTATGGCCATGCTAATGGTTGGAGCTTGCCATGTTCTGCTGCCCAAGTTTGATGCCAAAACAGCCCTTCAAGTTATGGAACAAAACCGTATAACTTGCTTCATCACCGTCCCAGCTATGATGGCTGATCTTATTCGTGTCAACAGGTAAAAAGAGAAATGAACTTTTTCTTGCTTGAAATAAAAATTTGTCTTTAAAACCGTTGGTTGGCTAAATAGTTTAACTCAAAGGACAACGAAGAATGGAGCTGAAAACCACAGCGTGAGAAAGATACTAAATGGAGGTGGATCTTTATCAACCGAACTCCTTCAAGAAGCTGTAAAAATATTCCCATGTGCGAAAATACTTTCAGCATATGGTGAGTCATTCTCATCTGGCTTCTAAATCAACCGTTTTTATTAATCTTTTGACCCTAAACTCTTTGAGATGTTGGTATTACAGGGATGACAGAGGCATGCTCTTCGCTGACCTTCATGACTCTCCATGATCTAACACAAGAGTCTTTTAAGGTGACATATCCTTTGGTTAATCAACCGAAGCAAGGCACATGTGTTGGCAAGCCTGCACCTCATATCGAACTGATGATTAAACTCGACGAAAATTCATCGAGGGTCGGGAAAATTCTAACTCGCGGACCACACACAATGCTTGGATATTGGGGTCATAAACTTGATCAAGAAAGTGTTGAATCATCAGAATCCAGAAGCAATGAAGCTTGGCTTGACACAGGTGATATTGGAACCTTTGATGAGTTTGGGAACTTATGCCTTATAGGTCGGTCCAATGGCCGAATCAAAACTGGAGGCGAGAATGTTTACCCCGAAGAGGTCAGCTTCCAACACAAGAAACTGCTCGATGGCCTCAAATTGTGTATTCTTACATGGATTGAATTGATTAATTTGCGCAGGTCGAAGCTGTTCTAGTAGAGCATCCTGGGATTGTTTCTGCCGTGGTGATAGGTGTCATTGATGCTCGTCTTGGAGAGATGGTTGTTGCTTGTGTTCGTTTACAGGAGAATTGGATATGGTCTGATGTTGAAAACCCCAAACGAAGTTTCCACTTGTCAAGTGAGACACTCAGACATCATTGTAGAACACAGAACCTAACCGGGTAATATATCTTTAATAATCTAGTTTCTAAACGAATAATATGTTAATAAATTTTGTTTTGTTATATATATACTTATTAGTTTGATGAAATGGATGAACTTGTTGAACAGGTTTAAGATACCGAAGAGGTTTGTCCGATGGGAGAAGCAGTTTCCGTTGACAACAACTCGGAAAGTGAAAAGAGATGAAGTTCGAAAACAAGTTATGTCTCATTTCCAAATCTTGACTAGCTCTCTCTGATCATTACAATTTTAAACCGTAAAAACATTCTTTATTTGTTTGATACAATTTTTTAGGTTATTATGATTGGTAATGATGGTATTTTAGGTTATAATGATCATGATGTATCAATCCTTATTAATAGTGTCGTTAAGGATAATGAGAATCCGAATGTTGATCTTCTTGAGGATTTAGATTCCTACTTGGATGATTTAAACAAGAGGGGTTAACTGTTTCAAGAAGATTCGCTAGTGAACACAGGGAATGTTAAATGCAGTCAAGGCTGAGGCTGTTGGAAAGTTAGTTCATAAAGATAAAGCGTGTAAGGAGTAGGGACACAGATTTAGAACTCGCAACACCCTCGGATCAAGACCAAGTGTTGTCGATCGACATCAAGCCGATCATTTTCATCCAGCTCTCTCGAAGAATTTTCTGATTATTATCTATCGATTTAACCTTCTATCTTATAGTTTTCAAGCTTTGTATTTCAGCTGTCTCTCAATTTCGAACATTCATCAAGTGATCTCTTTGGTAAAAAGTTTAATTACGGATAAAGTGGATCCAAACCTAATAGTATTTTTTTTAGAAACACAACCTAATTATATAATAGTCCATATTATCTGAGTTTTCTGACGTTCAAAACGTGTATGAACGTATAATGAAACATGAACCACTAATTTTACCTACCAAAACTATGTGTCTGTTACTATTTTAAAGATGGGATGGGATGGGATGGGACCATAAGTAATCGACACATTAATGAATCATGACAAATTGAAAACTCCCATGAACCACAAGTTTATCATGGGACCATGAGCCTTGGTAACCCCTGTTCTAAAAATCCCCGCCTAGCACCGATTACTCCCCGCTTAATCGCTAGGCCCACCCTATCCGCCTCGATTAATGACTAATCCCCTAAAAAATCAGTAACCCGATTATTCTCCACCTAATCCGATTACTTCCCGCCTAATCCGATTATTTTCCGCCTAATCTTATATACCCCGATTATTTTTTAGATCGCAAGTATAAAAAAACTTTTTATTTTTGTTATTCAAACATTTGAATGGGGAGTTTGTGATGTTTTACAATAACTTGTGTTCAAATTTTAATACAAATCATAAATTTTAATACAAATCATAAATTTGTAATAAAAATCATAAATTTTTACAATATTGGATTAATATATTTTAAAAATATTAAAATAACCCTAAAATTAATCCTCGATTAATCCCCGATTTTAATCCGATTTTCCGATTAATCGCTAGGCCCATGCCGAGCGCCCGACTAGCGCCTAGCGATTTTTCAAACAAGGTTGGTAACTAATAATTGATTTAACACAAAACAACACAGTGGCATTCAGTCAATTGCTCTGTTTACACAATATTGATATGAATAGTTACGGTATCATATCCTTTTTACTACCAAATCTTCAACAATTTTTTTAAAGGAAAATTGGATATAAAGGATAAATAATTAAATTATTGTCCATCTATGCATTCTATATTCCTAATGTGTCATATATGCTTTAAAATTGGTCATATATGCTTTGATATAATTAAAATCCCATTTATATCCCCAATTTTTTTTTGTTAAATCTTGCTAAACTATAAATTCCAAAATTAATTAGATTTCTTTCTAAAAATGATTTGGAGAAAATATATGACAAAAATAATATTTAATTACTTTCTAATTTCTTTTTGCTGTAGATAATTTCATATCTTCTTCCGCTTTAGTTCTTTTTTTTTAAGGCATCTTCTTCTTCTATTTTCTTTACGACTACTTCTTCTTTGATTTTCTCTTTTGGGACTGCCCATCGATATGTTGGACGATGTCAACATATACATGCACGTCAAAGGCCTGTAATTGATCTATGGGAAGTAACATCTGCTCATGTATTCATGACCGAATGGCAAAGTATGAACCTCCACAAGCTAGATTCTAATATAATAGAGATTGAGTGAAAAACAGACACACAATGATTTATGCAACTTTTTTACATGTCAATTCACTTTTACGTTAGTCATTTTCAAATATTACGCCTATAGTAAGCCACAATTTTCCACAAATGTGGTACTTTTGTTAGTTTATAATTGAGTTTGGTTATATTACGTATTTTGTATTCTGTATAAGTAGAGCAACACGTTTCACTCATGGTACGTATTTTCCACGAAAAAGTTGTGGAGTTTCGTAATCTTAACTTTTTATATTCGATTTCCATATTTTATAATTTAGTTTCCTTTTTAAAAAAAAATTCTAAATTACATAGAATTTGATTTCTATTTTTTGTAGAATATATAGAAAAATATAAGAATGTGTTTTCTAATAATTTTAGAACATGAGTAAATGTTAGAAAACATATTCTAATTTTTCTAGAAGAAAGAGCAAAGTATAGAATATGTATTCTAAATTTCGTAGAATTTAACATTCTAAATACCGTAGAACAGAAATACGTTCTAAATTTTCTAGAACATGTAGAGTGCATAGAATACATTATCTAAATTTTATAGAACATGTACAATGTATAGAATACACATTCTAAATTCAGAAGACGTAGTCTAAACTTCGTAGATCATATTTTATTCAACCAAAACGGTAACAAAAACGATATATTTTCGATTTTATAAGTATCCCCATGACTTTTTTATCATATGCCTACAAACTATTCTATATTTTATTTGAAAAATTGGTTATATCAATTACAAAGGGTAGATTAGGAATATGTGACATTTGAATATAGAATGCATAGATGGACAATAATAATTATTTGTCCTTTATATCCAATTTTCCCTTTTTTTAATATAACTTTACTCTGCCAAAGTTTTAGGTTGGTAATAAGAAAACCATTGTCAACATAGGTTTACTCATAATAGATACTAGATTTTAACACCATTTATATTTAGTAAGTTATTTTTGGTGAGAAGTTAATTTTGGTAAGTTACCCCAACTTGTGCCACCTAAAATGTATTTCTCCATTTTGATTGCGTTAAACATCTAAAGAAAATTGAAAACTTTCGATGACATAGAGAGGGAGAAGTTGGTTTAAAAAAAAATAGACCAAGACTTTTGACGTAGAATCTAAAAACGAAGAAGAATTCAAATAAAATCAAAGAGAGACATCTTGTTGCAGTTAAGATATAAAGTATGTTTAAAGGAGAAAAGAGAAAGTAATTCAGATAGCATTGTTCTCAATGTTTATACTTAATAGAAAGAAAGAAAAGTATATAAAAACTAGAAAGTAAGTATATAAGTAAAAGTATAAATGCGCTTATAAATTAGATTTGTCTTCATCAAGCTTAATTAATCTCTCTAGATTTGGTAAGCGTTCTTCAAGAGGTACCAACCACTGTCACGCGCTATTAACTTCACTGGCCATAGCTCTTTACTCACTTGCTCCATTCCGTATTCTTTATTTAATGACCCTCTTTGCGTTTTCTCCTTCATATTCCTTTCACTAGAATCATGATCAAATTCTCCGAGCCAATCAGAGACTCCCACGTGGCAGTTCTCGCGTTCTTCCCTGTTGGCGCTCATGCTGGTCCTCTCTTAGCCGTTACTCGCCGTCTCGCCGCCGCTGCTCCCTCCACCATCTTTTCTTTCTTCAACACCGCACGATCAAACGCTTCCTTGTTCTCGGACGCAGATCATCCGGAGAACATCAGGGTCCACGACGTCGCTGACGGTGTTCCGGAGGGAACCATGCTAACCGGGAGTCCACTGGAGATGCTCGAGCTGTTTCTCGAAGCGGCTCCACGGAATTTCCGGAGAGAAATGGCGGCGGCAGAGACGGAAGTCGGTAAGAAAGTGACATCCATGCTAACAGATGCCTTCTTCTGGTTCGCAGCGGATATGGCTGCTGAGATGAAGGCCACTTGGGTTGCGTTCTGGGCCGGCGGAGCAAACTCTCTCTGTGCTCATCTCTACACTGATCTCATCAGAGAAACCATCGGCGTCAAAGGTAAAATATAAGTAGCGTTTAGAAACTACACTCGTGAATATTTATATGTATTTATGGTTATTAATTTGTTTCTCTTCTAGTAGATGTGCGTATGGAAGAGACATTAGGGTTTATACCAGGAATGGAGAATTACAGAGTTAAAGATATACCAGAGGAAGTTATATTTGAAGATTTGGACTCTGTTTTCCCAAAGGCTCTATACCAAATGAGTCTTGCTTTACCTCGTGCCTCTGCGGTTTTCATCAGTTCCTTTGAAGAATTAGAGCCTACTTTGACCCATAACCTAAGATCCAAACTTAAACGTTTCTTGAACATCGCTCCTCTCACGTTATTATCTTCTACATCGACACTAGTGCGTGATCCTCATGGCTGCTTTGCTTGGATGGGGAAGAGATCACCTGCCTCTGTAGCGTACATTAGCTTCGGCACCGTCATGGAACCGCCTCCTGTAGAGCTTGTGGCGATAGCACAAGGGTTGGAATCGAGCAAAGTGCCGTTTGTTTGGTCGCTTAAGGAGAAGAACATGGTTCATCTACCAAAAGGGTTTTTGGATCGGACAAGAGAGCAAGGGATAGTGGTTCCATGGGCTCCCCAAGTGGAACTGCTGAAACACGAGGCAACGGGTGTGAATGTGACACATTGTGGATGGAACTCGGTGTTGGAGAGTGTGTCGGCAGGTGTACCGATGATCGGCAGACCGATTTTGGCGGATAATAGACTCAACGGAAGAGCAGTGGAGGTTGTGTGGAAGGTTGGAATGATGATGGATAATGGAGTCTTCACGAAAGAAGGATTTGAGAAGTGTTTGCATCAAGTTTTGGTTCATGATGATGGTAAGTCGATGAGGGCTAATGCCAAGAAGCTTAAAGAAAAACTCCATGAAGATGTCTCTACCAAAGGAAGCTCCTTTGAGAATTTCAAAGTATTGTTGGACGAAATTGTGAAATTACAAAATATTTGAAGACTATAATTGTGATTTAAGCAGTTATAGTCAAATAAATGTGCCCATTCTATTTTGTCAAAGTAACAATGTTTCTATTTCAAAGGGTTGTTGATTTTCATTGTTCTTGATATATTATTACTCTGTTAAGTACCTTTTTAAATAAAATATTGATGTCGAATAGCGATCTATGTTTATTTTAACCTAAGGAAAGATTAGGTGGGAGTAGCTTCCGAATAAGTGTAATCATTGTAGAAGAATATATTATAATGAAATCTAGAACAAAAATCTTTTGTACGAATTGTTTTGTCCTGCAACAACAAGTGAGATCTTGTGACAAGTATGGAAAATTGGAACCAATTTGTGACGAACCGCTGAAACTCGATTCCCATAATTATGGGTATTATAAGGTTCATGATTGAGAGTATTGATGTTGATGCATGTGGTGCTGTTGAAGACAAATGGACATCACCAATGGCTACAAATGAGAAGGGAGAATGTGTTACGAAACCAAGGAAGTATTCAACTGCTAAAGAGAAGTCATAAGTCAAATTCAACTCGAGGGCTCTGTCGGCTATGTTTGGGCCTTTGCATATGAACCAAACCAACGATGTAAGTGAGCAAATGATGCTTGGGACAAATTTCAAGTATCATTTGAATGCACCAACAACACCAAAAGTACCACAATCGACATGCTAGCATCCAAATTATCCTCGCCATAATTACTAACAAAACCTTAAATCTAACTAAAACATTGTTCTCCTTGCCTCCATCATTCTTTTTTCTCATCAATATTTTTACCCTTTTTCTTCAGCAGCTTTGCTTATTATATCATAATATTTCAAAAGAAATATTACTTTATCTTGTCTCTAGGAAGTTTGTATATAAACTGTAAATACAATGTTGAAACTAGAAGCTTCAAAATTTAACTTTCAAGAGTTTGTCTATGCTATTTTGGAGCTCTGAAGCTTGTCCGGAGAGAATTAAGAGGAGAATCGAAGAGACTATCAGTCTTCTGACCAAGTCTCATATGATCAAACAATTTTAATTCGCTCAAGTTTCATTACATTTCTGTTGTAAATCCGCATCCTCTGTCAATGTTTTCTCTTCTTGTTGAGTAACCAAAGAGATGATCAATAACAAGAATTGGAATTTGACAACGAGATTCTTATGCACTATTGTACATATGTACCACAACCACAGTAAGAGAAAAAAATTATATCACTATGGCATTTCTGAAGATTCAAGAAACATTGATTTCAATAATAAAGCTTTACGTGGCCGATTAATCGTTAACTTGATAAGAAGTTCATGGCCAACAATGCTGCTCCAACAGCTGGCTCTACCTGAAGATACATATAGCAGTATACACTTATTCAGTTGTTGAGAGGGAGAGAGAGATAATAAATGAAAGGTAGATTGCTGAACCTTTGGTATGATTGTTTGAGCCCCAGGAAAGTATCTGTTAATGCGCTTTGAGACTTCTTTTCCAATGTCCCATTTCTGATTAGCGTTTAGGACTCCGCCCACCATTACAACCGGGAAAGAAGCTGTCCCATCTGAAACAAGAAATATCTGACACTATAAGGAACAGGGTGTCGAGAAAAAGAATAAAAAACAGAGTAAGTTGGATATGTAAAATCACCTTCGCCACATAAACCAAGTCTCTGTACAACAGCCTTCACACTTAGAGCTAAATCCTCAGCTGCATCAACCAAGATCTTATCTGAAATTTCATCACCAGCTTCTGCACAAGATACTACTTGAGGAACAAGAGCAGCGATACGTGCCCAAGATGGATCAGCGTAAGTCCACCTACATCCAGAAACATTAGACTAGCATTTTTAAGTGGTGTTGGGGACTTCGTCAGAACAACAGAAAGAAAGAGAGTACCTCTCTTCATGTCTGAAGAGTTTTGAATGCAGTGATGGATACCAAGAAATTATAGAAAGGCATATGTTTTGAGATCGAGTCATTAGTTTGAAAAGAAAGGTACCCGATGAGTTCATCTGGAGAGGAAAGTCCAAGTGCTTTTAAGATGGTACTTGTAAGCATCGTTTGTGGCCCACGACCATCATGGGCTCTAATCACCGCCGTTAAGGCCTGTGCAGCAATTCCATAGCCACTGTAAATAATCACATCATCATTCACCGGTTAAGGAATCTCCACACAGTTTAAGTGTATTTTCAACAAATCTGTGATGACAAAGTCAATAGTTGCAGTCATAACTTTGACTCATGCATCTGAAACTTATACGAGGTAAAAACTAAACTAATATCTCCCTGGAAAGATGGAACCGGTGACAAAACAAACCTCAGTGGATAGGGAGGATGTGAAAGCAGAGACATTGTGATGTGATGTTTTTCTCAAAATTGTGAAAATTGACATAAACCACAACACATAAAGAGAAATACCTTCCCCAATCACCTAAGATTGGTCCACCACCAGATGCCCTAGCCTCCTTGCCATCTTCATCAAAGCCATAGGCTATACATCCTGTACCAGCAATTAGAACACAGCCATGGAGCTTTCCCATGGTTCCACTAGCTAAAGCCACTATAGCATCATTCTGAACATATACCTTGACGTGACTAGGGACGATGTCCCTGCAAAACATTATGAGAAGGGGGTAAAAATCGAGATGATTTACGCCTGAAACTCTAATAGCCTGATTTACACTTGACATGACTACTACTACCTTATCCAATTTTCTATCTTTTCCTGGTCTGAGGGATGATTAACACCTGAAACACCTAAGCATACACCGCGAACATCTGATTTATCAGAACCCGATTGTACAAGTGCCTCAGAAATCACTTGCTCTAGTGAATCCCTTGCTGCAGTTTCTGCATACACGATGCACATTGAAAGGTGACTTTAATAGGGTAGAAATATCCAAGTGGTGCCACAGCTATATCCAAATATTTGCTGCAAGCAAAACCAATACCGCAGACACAAAATAGATTAATTCCACACAACTAGAACCAACAACACACACAATGCTTATATTCAGCTAAGAACAAATCCATTTTCAATTCCAGAATCAGCTAAGGCAAATACCACATTGCAGCATATTAAATTAGATCACACACACTCTTATTAATCATTATCAAAACGAAACATTCATTCAAAGATGTCTGAAGAATCACAATCTACCAAAGATATCTATTGCCCAGAGCTAAAATGATTGCAATTCAACAAACTCCAGGAAAGTCCTCTAACCCAAAAAGCTAAACAAAAAATTCAAAATTGAAGAGAGAAGATGAGACGGAACCTCCAACGCTGTTGCGATTGGTGCAACCGGCGACGGCACGACCGAGGATAGGAAGAGGCTCCGGGAAACAATCTCCAAACGGGAAAAATGGAACGCAAACGCAGACCGTTGAGGTGGCGCCACCGTCAAGGCCTAAGATAACGCCATCTACGAAGCCGTTCTCTTCCGTGGCTTCTCCTCCTCCATCAGCTTGAAGCTTCCGAAGGTTTCCATTGCTATGTGGATTCCTCATTCACCAATAAACACCAACCCAGATGAGATCAAGGAAAATGGAGAAATGGGTCGTCGAGAGTTGAGACACGCCAGTGAGAAATTAGTGCCCTTTCGATCGGAGATCAAGGTCGAGAATTGTGATTACCTCAAATTTTCAATTTCGTCTAAAGATATATCTCTCTGCCTTGTTGTCTTTTTCAGGAAATATTTTTTAAAGGGTTTATCAACGACAAAGGATTAACAATTATAGCAAAATCTTTATTACACGATTTTTCTTTTTATAGGTAAATTTTTAAGAGGAGTAGAAGATTTTTAGATACATTTATCTACGAACTATAGAATTCGGTTTGCTATTTGGAAAAAAATATTCACGAAAATTAGTTTTCAGATGAAATTTATATACATAGTATTCTAATCGTTTTTGACAAGGAAGAGAAGAGAAAAAAATATTCTGCTTTGGATCTTCGCAAGAGGGAAACCTCCAGTAATGGGTTAGCTTGTTTCATGACTAACGCTGTTGAGGATCTAGCGGGCTCTGTGAACCTGCAAATCATAACAAGGGTGGTTTTGAATGCTGGTGATCGATTAGATCAAGAACGTGTTATGTAGAATAAATGTTGCATGTGCTAGGATAACTCCTAAGTTCCTAGCCAAATCAAATCTCCTACTTCTTATGACAAATCACTACAACCACTAAGAAAACATTTCCTCTAGAAACCTCCTCGTAAGTCTTTACGCCAAGTGACTTCTACATGGATTAGAGACTCTTCCTATCACTCGGTGTAGTGTAGCATTCGCACAGCTAAGCTTTTTAGAATTTGTTTCACCTAAAGTGAACATTGTTCTCTTAGAGTATATCATCTCCTCCTAAAACATGGAAAGTGAAAATTCAACTAATATACTCATAAGACTCACTCCTAGAATGCAAAAATGTAAAATGTAACGCAAAGCAAGTAAAGCTGTGAAAAGAAAAATTATGCAACCTTTTGTTTTTAGGCTTTTTCTATTCAAATAAATATAAACAATGCAAGATTTAAACTCCACTAGGTGTGATTATGCCAAGATCACCACAGGGCATAGCTGCAAATACATCATGATTAAATAAGCAAGCCAAGCGATGGGAAACCCTTTCACATCGGGAAAATGCAAGAGATTATTGACATGTTATTTAGTATTTACAATGGAATGGATGTCATACCTTGCGTATAGCGCTGCAGAACCAGTTTTGGAAGGACCCTTGAGGCTGGAAGTTCATAAGTGGGATATCAAATCCTCTAAGAGCTCAAGGTGCTTGAGTTTGAGAGGTGTTGACTCCATGCACCCTTACAATTCTCAAAAGGGAACCTAACCTTTTGCTTCTCCTCTTGCATAAGCCGCAGTTCCTCCTCTATTATGGATGACTCATCATCTGACTCCTCCTCATCTTGTCATTCATTGTGTGGTTAATCCTTCTCTAAGGTTTATTTTTTAGTAACAAGTAAACAAAAATTAAGATAAAAGACAACTTAAAATTCGAATGACACTTTTGTGTCCTTGTTGGAAATAGAATAAGAACTGTTAGAAAAAATCTCTTCAAGAAATTTTGTAAGTACAGATATTGAATAGGTATCAATTCTCAATTCCTCTATTGCCTGATGCAAAAAGATAGTTCCTTTTATGCAATGGTTCCCATTTCTCAACTAAACTGCACTGCAACTAAAATAAGCTGTTACGGCTTTCATTCTGCCTCCAACAAAGTTTTCTTCTATCTGAAATCACAGCATATGAAATTTGTCAAGAAAAGAGCTTCCAATAAATTAGCTCTCCTAGTATTCTTCTTGACAGTGTGTCTCACCTCAAGAGTTAGCGGAGGGGACGAGAGCCAAGCGAGTTCTTCCACTTGCGCTAAATCAACATTTCGCGGTAGAAACATAATGATGTTAGGCGTAATGGACTGAGCAATCTGAAACAATGAGTACCTACACAAAAACAAAACCTCATTACAAGATCTAAACTGGTGAGTGGTGAGTATTTCCATAAGTATATTGAACACAAAATCAACATCAATAGGCAAAGTGGTGGTGAAAGCATATCCAACTTGTAACTCTCATGTTACCCGTCTCTTGGTTGAAGCATTTCCAACTTGTAACTCTCAACATCTCTATACATTGGTCCTCCCCATGGTGGTGAAAGAAACACTACATCTCCCTAGTACATCACCGCAACAACAACAAAAGGGTCAAAAGAAATGTTTACACTTGCAGATATATATAAAACTGATAGAGAGAAGAAGAAAGATTACTTTGAGAGATGGAGCTAATTGGATGAAATCACCAATGACAAAATCAACACGATTAGCAACTCCATAAACCATTGCATTGTTCATCGCCAATTCAACTTTCACCGGATCAATGTCAATAGCAACAACAGAAGAACATCTATATAAAAAAAAAAAAGACTCCTTTAGAAAACATCTCACACAACCATTAAGATCACACTTCTTGATTTTGAGAGGGAAAAAAAGAAAAGGTTTACACTTTAGCAAATTGAATAGTGTTACCACCAACGCCTGAGAAACAATCAATGACCACTTTACCACGACATCTCTGAGCTTGTTTAATTGCGATTACTTCAGGAGTCACAGAGTACCATCCTTCTTCATCCATTTCGATACCTTGGTCATATCTTGAGAAGAGATCGTATCGTTGAATCCAGTACTTAGTGATCTTATGACTCGAACCATTTTCTTTCTTTATCGTTGATTTTATTCCTGTAAGAAAGTTGCAGATGAATTAGGGTTTTTCATCAGAAAAGGTTTTAAAAGTTCAAAAATTGGAGAAACTCGCGCAGATTTTGGGCAGCGTCTATTTTACCTTTCTTCAAGCGCGATCGTTTCTTGAGCTTCATCGATTTCGTCATGTTGTGTGACTCGTGAGTCAAAGAGTCAACTCGTGAAGAAAGAGTTGGGTTCGATTCTACCGGAAATCGAAATGTTTGGTATTACTTGTATTAACACTCGATCCTCAACCGGTTTGGATTTAACCGGTCCGAGCCAGGGCATGAAGCAATTTGAGTAGTAACTTTAATAACCAAAAAAAAATCCAATTATTTGTGTCCAAAAAAAAAAAAAATCCAATTATTAACTTTTCTTAATAAAAAGTTTGCTGTTCTTTGTGTCAATTTGAATTCTCTGGTTATCTATAATTATTGTTGAGTTTGTAATAACTCTACTCTAGCTTTTGAAGTCATTTAATTTTAACTTTTAGGATTTTTATCTCCTATAGTTGGATCGGTAATAACTTGCAACTATCTTCACTCTTTAAGTGTTTTACCTAGGCTTCTCTTGGTTCCTACATTCTTGCTGTTCTAGCAACTTTTGTGCGTTTCCAGAAGTCATTAAAGTGTGTTGTCATTCAAACTTGTCATTGATGATCTATTCGTGCGTTTTAATATTGCTATAAGCCCACTTTTCGAAAGGACCTTGATGTTGGAAAGTTCATAAGTGGGAACCAAATCATCTAGCTGTTCAATGGGATCGTTTTCGTCTTAGTTGAGAAGAACCATTGTCTCCATCAACCCTTACATAGCTGCATTTCTCGAAGGTCACCTTCTTGTTCCTTTTGTATCCTTCACCATCACCATGTAAAAGATTTTTAATCTATTAATGTTTACAATCATCTTTTCTCCATTTTTTTATCTCATCAATTTAAGAAAATTGTAGGATAATGACAGTTTTATATATGTCCTTTGAAGTAGAATCAGAAATAATAATTAAAAAAACATCTCTCAACAAATTATAAAATTGTAGGAACAAATAATGAATGACAAGAGTTAATTCTTCTGTTCCCTTGTTATGCAGAAAGAGTTCTCAACTAAACCGCATCGCTACTAAAATAAGCTGTAATGGCTTTTATTTCGCCTCCAATACAGCTTTCTTCTATCTGATATCACAACAAATGAAAATCGTCAAGAAAAGAGTTTGCAATAAATTAACTCTCCTAGTGATCATTGTATAAGTACCTCGAGAGTTAGAGGAGGTGACGAGAGCCAAGCGAGTTCTTCCAATTGGGCTAAATCAACATTTTTCGGTAGAAACATGATGATATTAGGTGTAATCGATAGGGCAGTCTGAAACAGTGAGTATCTACATAAAACAAAACTTCATTACAAGATATGTATTACCATAAAGAATTAATTAAGCACTACTTTATCATGTATTGAACACAAATCTACATCAATAGGTAAGAGTTAGATTTATCTATGTTACCCATCTCTCGGTAGGAGCATATCCAACTTGTAACTCTCAACTTTGCTATATGTTGGACCTCCCCATGGTGGAGAAAGAAACAATACATCCCCCTGCCAAAGTAGAACATGATTTAAATCTAGTAGCTTATAGATATCAACACAACATGTATTGTAAGGTGATACAAATATATATGTTATACGGTAATTAAACCGGTGCATGGTAACAATGTAATTATATGGAGGACACAAAAGGGCCGCCTAAAGACCGTGTATTTATTTGATTATATTGTATATCACAATCGTTCTTCTTCTTTTGTGATTAGTTTCTTCATGCATTAATTATTGAGGCTATGTCAACAATCTCCAAGTAATGTAACTCTAACAAATAAAGAGACTATGTGACTATTGTTTCAACGTTATTACTTATTTGAGACTATTCTTCTTTTTTTTTTCTTTCTTTTTTTGTATTCATATGAATTAAGTTTTCTATCATGAATATTGTTTATTTTAAAAAAAAATCCCCTTTGTATATATATTTTGAAGAGAAGAAACGATAGAGAAAGGGAGAAGAAGATTTACCTTGAGAGATGGAGCTAATTGCATGAAATCACCAGTGACAAAATCTATACGATTAGCAACTCCATAAACCTTTGCATTGTTCATTGCAAATGCAGTCTTCATTGGATCAATATCGATAGCAACAACAGAAGAACATCTATAAAAAAAAAAGGACAAAAGATTAGAAAATATATCACACCCGTTAATCATATACTCCCTCCGTTTCAGTTTAGTTGTCGTTTTAGAATTAAAATTTTGTTTCATAATAGTTGTCGTTTTAGGTTTTCAATGCAAATGTTTGGTGAAAATTAATGTTTTGTCATTAATGTTTTAATGTTTTGACCAATGAAAAAATTATAAAATATATTAATAAAGGGTAAAACAAAAAATTTAATGATTTTCTTAATTTGTGTGCAAAAACCTTAAACGACAACTAAAACGAAACGGAGGGAGTACTTATTATAGAGAAAGATATAAAGCTTACACTTTAGCAAACTGAATAGTGTTACCACCAACGCCTGAGAAACAATCAATCACAACTTTGCCACGACATCTCTCGGCTTGTTTGATTGCGATTTCTTCGGGAGTCACAGAGTACCATCCCTCTTCATCCATTTCGATACCTTCGTCGTATCTTGAGAAGAGATCGTAACGTTGAATCCAGTACCTACTGATCTTAGGATTCGTACCATGTTCTTTCTCTATCGATGAGTTTGCTTCTTTAGTAAAGAAAAACTAGAGATATATAAGAAAGCAAGAAAGTCACATAAAAGTGGAACATTGAGCAGTGTTTATTTACCTTTCTTCATCGATCTCGTGTTGTTTGATTCTTCACTCAAAAAGTCAACTCGTGTTCAATGCTACCAAATTTAAACAGTGAGTGGAGAATGGTCCGACAAGAGAGAGAGTGTTGGTTCGAATCTCCCGGGAATCGAAATATTCGTTTTTCGGTATATATTATTTAAGGAGCTAATTTGATTCTCGACCGGTTTGGATTAAACCGGACCGGTGAAAGAGATAGATCAATTTCGATTAAACTTAGAGGGTGCGGTTTTTCAGTTTCGAAAGCTTTAGGCTTAATTCGTAGTAATAGGAAAATACTGGGGCTCAATTAAGAACAAAGTTTGTTTTGTCTCGTCTTTGCGTGCTTGTTCCGGTCTGATATATGAAAAGAGGAGAAGAGTGAGTGACATTTGTATCTTTGAGTGAGGAATATCGTCGAACACTTGTGCTGCAACTCCTTCCTCAACCCAAATCTCTTCCTTTTAAAGTTCACCTGGCTGGCCAATGCGAACCCATAAAAGACTCGATCCAGGGATCGTTATTCACTACTCAGAAAAACGTGATCAAGACTTTGGCCTGCAGTTTCATTCACATACATGGTCAATCCTTTGTGTTGTTTGTTTGATGCATCAACTTTGTTTAGGTTTAGACTTTAGTCTTGTCTTTCATCATTTATGTGGGGTATATCCGTATATGTGTGTGTATATATATATGGTGCTTGAATGGGATTATGGTAGTGCTCTGTGTTGTTGGGTGGCTCTTTCTTATGTTTGTTCCGTAGATTTATGAAAGTTTTATTTTCTCCTTAGGTTTATTAAACGTGTTATGTTGTGGACACCTTTGGTTTTTCTCAGAGGTACACTGGTGTAGAATTGACTGCCCTTAGGGAGGGTGCAAACCCTTTCCGTAGAATATTGCAACTCTGAGTTTTCACTTGCCTTTAGGTTTTAATTTTAGGTTATAGTGAAGATGATGCAACTTTTAAGCTGTTACTTTGGATTTTGTGACAACTGCTGTTTCGCATTATCTGATTGTATATGGAAGTGGAACTCTCTTGGGAGATATGAATAGGTGACTCCTAATAACCAGTGACTCATGTTTTTTAATAATGCTATTTGGTCTTCAACTTCTATCTCAATCTCAATGTATTGATTTTTTTTCCTGCTTTGCTTACTGATTAAGTGATTATTGTGAATAAGCTTTGGTTATCCACACATCTATCCTGCTTTTTGTTCACCCATTAGTAGGTTTTGATAGCCATTTTGTGTATTTATCCTCTTTTATTCCTTATGTATGTTTTCTGATCCTAATTGTCATTTTCTTGCAACAACTTGTCCACTTTTATATGTGATAGTTAGCGCGATGGAGATAATTTTGGCTGAGATTATGTTGTTTTCAGGGTATACTGCTTGGTAAAGTTGTGGCATCGTAGGCCATGTCATTTCATATCTTATATCCTTACGGCTCAAAGAGGTACTCTTCTCTCTTGGTGCATCTCTCAGTTTACTGCCTCTAAAAACTTCCCATTATATAGTCATTTTGTTTTTATTGCATTTCTTTCTACTTTTTTGGTATAGTTGATGTGTTCTCTCAACTCGTAAGTTCTCAAGGTTAAATACGCAAGTGTTAAACATACTGCCTACTGTATGTCTGTATACAATACGGTTTGTGAAAAATCACTGTGGTAGTGTGGTGTATGCTTGAAGAATGAATCTTGTGTGTGTTTGTTTACATGATGGCGTTTTCCAAATCTGACAAAATCAATTTTTTTTCTTTCTGGTTTCTTGTGATGTGTTAGTCTAATTATATAATATACGGTTGCTTGCATAATCTTTGGTATGGTCAACATAGCAATCCCGTAACAGCAAAAGGCAGCTCACGTGACGTGATAGATTACACAGCATGAGATATCACAAAAGTCAAATACATTAATATTTCCATGTTTGAATCATTATAAAGACTGAGTTGGTAATCTTAGTCACAAGAAAACTAAATTATAAGATAAAAAGTTATAGGATTGATTCAAAGATTGCATAATTAAGAACATCTCTTCTATCTGTGGTTCCTTTGCTTCCTTTTTTCGAGTAATTATTTAAGCTTTTAGGTATATTCCCTTGTACTAACGGATATTTGTTGTTTCTAGTTTTTTTTTTCCTCAGATGAATCTGAATTCTTGATTTGTATGTTCTGTACATGTTGTGAAGTTTAAACTAGAAAAAGTGGGAGGATAGTAACTTGAAGCATATGAGCCAAAAGTCAAACAATTTAAAAATACAGCAAAGGAGTTAGAGATTAAGTAATTTAAGTTAGTTATTCTCACGTTCTTTAACCATTAAGTAGTGCTTTTTTCTTTCCAAAATTTTTCCAAGCATTAAGTTGCCAAAAAAGAGAAAGAGGAGAAAGAGAGATCTTTTCTCTTCTCTTCAAATTTCAAAGGTCATTCAAATTTGTATGTTGAATGAGGCAATCTCATGTTTAAGATTGTTCTTAAATTGTTCTGAGTGATTCTAGTGGTTTTGTCTTTTGACTTTTTGTTGTCTTAATCTCTCTGTTCAGATTTTTTAGTCACGTGAGTAGAAAGAAGCTAAAGACATGGCGTCGTGGACTTCATCTGAATTCCTCTATGAAGAAGTAAAACCACCAGGTATTCATTTCCTAGAACGTTTCAAGCGTTCAGGCAAACTCTCTTTCAAGCAATATCAAGCAATGGTCTTTGTCTTGACCTTCATCGCTTATATTGCCTTCCACGCAACCCGGAAGCCTAACAGCATCGTCAAAGGAACGCTCTCTGAACAACCAACCGGACATTTCAAGGGGGCAGATAAAGGTGGATGGGCTCCTTTCGATGGTCCAGATGGAACAGCTTTGCTTGGACAAATCGATTTGGCTTTCCTCGCTGTTTATGCGGTTGGAATGTTTGTGGCTGGTCATTTGGGTGATCGTTTGGACCTCAGGACGTTTCTAACTATAGGTATGATCGGGACAGGAGTGTGTACCGCTCTGTTTGGAGTCGCTTTTTGGGCCAATATCCATGCTTTCTACTATTTCCTTGCGATTCAGACATTGGCAGGGTGGTTTCAGTCTATTGGATGGCCTTGCGTGGTGGCGGTTTTGGGGAACTGGTTTGATAAGAAGAGGAGAGGAGTAATTATGGGGATTTGGAGTGCTCATACATCATTAGGGAATATCATTGGGACTTTAATAGCGACCGGCCTTTTAAAATTCGGTTGGGGATGGTCTTTTGTTGGTCCCGCTTTGCTCATTACGTTTCTTGGCATTGTGGTTTACCTATTCTTGCCTGTGAATCCAGTTGCTGTTGAATCTGAGAGAGATGGAACTGAAGTTGATTCCACAATGAGACTCGGTGACACCATTACAGAGAGTTTCTTAAGCTCTAGGACGAGTACTGGATTCGATAGAAGAGCTGTCGGTTTCTTAGCCGCTTGGAAAATCCCCGGTGTTGCTCCTTTCGCCTTTTGTCTCTTCTTCACCAAATTGGTCTCTTACACTTTCCTCTATTGGCTTCCTTTCTATGTAAGCCAGACTGAGATAGGAGGAGAGCATTTGTCACAAGAGACATCGGGAAACTTATCGACACTCTTCGATGTTGGAGGCGTTGTTGGAGGAATCTTAGCCGGATATTTCTCTGATCAGCTGGACGGGAGAGCAATTACAGCCGGAGGATTCATCTACTTAACAATCCCAGCTCTGTTCCTCTACAGAATCTACGGTCATGTCTCAATGACAATCAATATCATCCTCATGTTCATAGCTGGATTATTTGTTAATGGACCTTACGCTCTCATCACAACTGCGGTTGCAGCTGATCTCGGTACTCACAAGTCCCTTAAAGGCAATGCAAGGGCTTTGGCTACAGTGACTGCTATTATAGATGGAACAGGATCAGTTGGTGCAGCTATTGGACCTGTTCTCACAGGTTACATCGCTGCGATTAGCTGGGATGCTGTGTTTTACATGTTGATGACTGCGGCTTTGATCTCTGGATTGTTGCTCACTACGCTTATTATAGAAGAAGTGAAAACTTTGTTGTATGGATCACCTGAAGAAGATGAAGTCGCTGCTGCTTCTTCATCAAGACCTCCCATTGATGTCCTCATATGATATATCATGACTTTGATATTTTTTCTTTTGTTTTTCAATCTGACTTGTATTCTCTTACATGACTTCGTTCTTTTGTCATTGTATTATCTTTTGTAAGGTTTGAATTAAAACAACATCCCTCTTGGTTTTAATGTGTCCTGAATTTCGTATGGATTGATCTTTATGAAAACGATGAAGATCTCCAAACCAAACATAAGAGCCAATTGCGATACATTAATGGCATGCATGCAATGATGCAAAGAAGAATGTTTACCCAAAAGTAAAAACGAACATCTATTCTAACTTCAAAACTTTGTTGGAGCGATTTTGGTTTTAGATCTTCTCTGCTTCTTCTTCCGGCCCAAAACATTCTCATTCAGAGTAAGCCGAGCTGCATTGTTCACACATCCACTTCTATGCCTAAACATGACAAATTAAAATCATAGCTTATATCAAATAGTCTTAAATGGGCTTTGTTCCATCCATTCTGATTCTGTACTGTGTTGAAGAACCAAAAAGATAAGAAAATCCAATCTCTCTCAAGGACTCTGGTTTCTGTTCATTTATTTTTCATCTCTCTTTAATCCAACCCTATTACAAATTTTAAACTTTTGAGAGTAATTATAACTTCATATTAGGAACACAAATTTATTTTGTAAACTAAATGTGATCTCAATAATAAACATGACAAATGTTCATGCAATATCATCTGAGTTTATGGTATGCAAACCAATAATTTAATTATATATTACACGTTAGATGATAAAGATAATTCCTACATTGCTATATGAGCAGTTAAAATTTTTTTGTGTTAGAAAAATAATGGGAAATAAATGAGGGACAAGCATAATTAATTACTGATTGTAATAAAATAAAATAAAATAAAACGATTGGTGATTTGATTGTATGAATATGAAATGTGAACAAATGTTTTTTTCCCTACTACTACTACGACTAGTGTACTTCTAGGGACGGTACGGACCAGACGATAACGAAAAGACAAAAAGGACCTTAACATGTCTAGACGCAAGCGTAGGTTGACGGAAGGGTAAACTAGGAATTTGGAGTGGAGGGGTATTAATGAGTGCTGATGATCAACCGGACAGGTGCATGTGACCCACTTCCCTATTATTGCCACCGCTCTTATCTTTTGTCTCTTTCTCTTCTTTCATCCTTTTTTTTTTTTTTTCTAAATCTTTTTTCCAAAGGATTTTTTCTTTATTTACTTTGAATAAATTTGCCAAATGTTAGTATTTTATTAAAAGAATTTAGATATACTACCGGTAGTTTTTAATTTAGCAATTAAAAAGGCATAATTATAATTATTAATAATCATTACACTACATGAGTGCTCTTTTTTTTTGTTTGGTTGCCAGCACATGAGTATAATCAATTTCAAGTGACAAGAAAAGAGAGGAATGGCGCTGCCGCTGCGGTTCTTCGTACTACTTATTTGGTGAAGAGAACAAACAAACAATCAGCAAACACAAATTTAAATTTATGATTAGAAAAAGAATTACTTGTTGAGTAGTTGTTATAAAAACAAATATTCAAGAAAGGTTTTATTCTTTCTCTTACTTTTCCAATCTGTTCCAACAAAACAAGCCATGTTCATAAATTTCTTTGTCCAGATAACGCTATCAGCTTTTCTGTTTTCTTTCTCCCTTTAACAAAATTTGCCTCTTTTGTTCAAACCCAGATCTTTCTTCTTGTTTTTTCTCATTTTCTCCGTTTGATTCATTCTCCATTTTGGGAGAATCTTACTTTGTTCTTTGTACTTCTTGTGGACTCTTCTGGGTCGTCTTGTTTCAGATCTACTAGCTAAAAGGAGCACAAAGGTTGGGTTTTTTGGTTTGTTTTGTTAACTTTGCATTGCCTTCTTGAAAAAAAAAATCAGCATTTTAGAACTGATTTGCTAAAAAGCTCTGCTTGTGAGAGAAAAAAAAAAGTAACTTCGTTCTTGAGACTCGTTTTTGAGCATTTGTTCTTCTTGCTGCTTCTCTGAAATTGTCTGGTGGAGGCTAATGAACAACGAAGATTAGAAAACAATCTGGAGATAGACAGGTTTTTGCTTATCTGTAGTTGAACACTGTCTCTCTTTGTGAGATTCAGTTGCAGTGATCGGTTTATTGGGTGATTTTTAGGATTCTTTGAGTGGCTATGTCGAAGCTGAGGAAAAAGTTTCTGGAACTTCTTCTATGTGTGTTGATTTTGTTTACTTATGTTATTGGCTATGGAGAAGCTCAGTCCAAGAGTTTTCTTGTAGATTGTGGCTCAAATACTACAACGGAAGTAGATGGAAGAACATGGGTTGGGGATTTATCTCCCAACAAGAGTGTGACCTTGCAAGGATTTGATGCCATTACTGCTTCGACATCGAAAGGAAGTTCGGTTTTTGGTGAGATATATAAGACTGCTCGTGTTTTCGAGGCTGTGTTGAACTATACATTTGAAGGTATAACTCAAGGGAATTACTTTGTTAGGCTCCATTTCAGCCCTTTCGCCATTGAAAACCACAATGTGAATGAGTCTTCTTTCAGCGTCTATGCGAATGGTCTGAGACTGATGCTTGACATCAACATCGCGGGAGAAATCGCGCATAAGAATCTCATCTTGGAAAGCACTGGTCACAATGCTACTGCCTCTTCTTTGGTTAAAGAGTTTCTGTTACCTATGGGACCAGGAAAACTGGTTTTAAGTTTCATGCCGGAGAAAGGGTCTTTCGGGTTTGTCAATGCTATTGAGATACTTCTTGTTGATGATAAGCTTTTCAAGGAATCAGTTACTAAAGTTGGTGGAAGCGAAGTGGAGCTTGGTTTGGGCGGACGCGGGATCGAAACTATGTATAGGCTAAACGTTGGTGGTCCCAAGCTAGGTCCAAGCCAAGATCTTAAGCTTTATAGAACATGGGAAACAGATTTGAGCTACATGGTGATTGAGAACGCCGGTGTGGAAGTCAAGAACAGCTCAAATATCACATATGCTTTGGCTGATGATTCGCCTGTGGCTCCTCTTCTTGTTTATGAAACTGCTAGGATGATGTCAAACACTGAAGTCTTGGAGAAACGGTTCAACATTTCTTGGAAATTTGAAGTGGATCCTAATTTCGACTACTTGGTCAGGCTTCATTTCTGTGAGCTTCTTGTTGATAAGCAAAACCAGAGGATATTCAGGATATACATAAACAACCAGACGGCTGCTGGTAATTTCGATATATTTGCTCATGCGGGCGGGAAAAACAAAGGTATTTATCAAGATTACTTTGATCCGGTCTCCTCTAAGAACGACGTTCTCTGGATTCAACTCGGACCTGACTCATCTGTCGGTGCTTCTGGAGATGCTCTTCTGAGTGGTCTTGAGATTTTCAAGCTCAGCAAAAATGGGAATCTTGCTCATCTCATCAGGTTTGATTCGACTGGTCACTCGGTAGATGACTCGAAGATGCGGATTATTTGGATCAGTGTTGGTGCTGGTATAGCAACTATCATTTTTTTCGTGTTCTTGGGAATCTTGGTAGTATGTTTATGCAAGAAAAGGCGAAATAAATCAAATGAGTCCAAAAACAATCCTCCCGGATGGCGTCCGTTGTTCTTGCATGTCAATAACAGTACTGCAAACGCCAAAGCAACGGGAGGCTCGCTGAGACTGAACACTCTTGCGGCATCTACAATGGGTAGGAAGTTTACACTAGCCGAGATTCGTGCAGCCACCAAGAACTTTGATGATGGTTTAGCTATTGGAGTTGGAGGGTTCGGTAAGGTCTACAGAGGAGAGCTTGAAGATGGAACACTCATAGCTATAAAACGAGCCACCCCACATTCTCAGCAAGGACTTGCTGAATTCGAAACCGAGATCGTTATGCTCTCAAGACTTAGGCATAGGCATCTTGTGTCTTTGATCGGGTTCTGCGATGAGCACAATGAGATGATCTTGGTTTATGAATACATGGCAAATGGAACTCTGAGGAGTCATCTATTTGGAAGCAACCTTCCTCCATTATCATGGAAGCAACGGCTTGAAGCTTGTATAGGTTCTGCGCGAGGATTGCATTACCTTCACACAGGCTCTGAGAGAGGAATCATTCACAGAGATGTCAAAACAACAAACATACTACTAGACGAGAACTTTGTGGCAAAGATGTCTGATTTTGGGCTGTCGAAAGCTGGACCTTCCATGGACCATACTCATGTTAGTACAGCTGTGAAAGGAAGTTTCGGGTATCTTGATCCTGAATACTTTAGAAGGCAACAGTTAACAGAGAAGTCAGATGTTTACTCTTTTGGTGTTGTGTTGTTCGAAGCTGTTTGTGCTCGAGCTGTTATAAACCCGACTTTGCCTAAAGACCAGATCAACCTTGCGGAATGGGCTTTAATCTGGCAAAAACAGAGGTCTCTCGAGTCCATCATTGACCCAAATCTGAGGGGAAACTACAGTCCTGAATCGTTGGAGAAGTATGGGGAGATAGCAGAGAAGTGCTTAGCGGATGAAGGGAAGAACAGGCCAATGATGGGAGAAGTTTTATGGAGCTTGGAGTATGTTTTGCAGCTTCATGAAGCTTGGCTTCGCAAACAGAATGGAGAAAACTCGTTTTCGAGTAGCCAAGCGGTAGAAGAAGCGCCAGAGAGCTATACTCTTCAAGGTTGTTCCAATCAAGATTCCTCAGAAACTGAGAAGAGCCAAACAGGATCAGCTCTTCACAACTTGGCTTAGAGGAAGCAAACGGATTGGGCAGAGCCAAAATAATTCTTTTGTTCTTTTGTTATAATTGATTGTGATCTATCCAGAAGCTCTTAGTAATAGAGCTTGTAATATACACTGCAAATATAAATTCTTTAAGGTATTCGTTTTATCATTTTCTCCATTTGTTTCCCTCGCTATTATGTGCACCAGAAGTTGTATGCTAAGGGTTACTTGAGCTCATTCCAGTTGCATCAGAAGAAACTTGGTTCCCAATTTTAAGTTTTCTCACTCACAATCACTTGAGGATCTTTCCAAATAGTAAGAGAAAACTTATTGAAAGAGTTCTAAAAGATACAGCAGGCTTAATGCTCTGTCTCAAGGCAAAGACATGTCTTAGCTAACTGCAAAATGTAAAGAGTTACACATACTTGTTTGGTAAAGCCACTCAAAAACTGCAACTGTCAAAAACAGAAAATACAGTTTGGTTCCTTCTCGGAACTGGATAAAGCTTCAAGATCCAGAGAGGACACCGAACATAGGTAGGTAGGCAGATGGATCTCATTTCTTCCCACCACCGGAAACATTGAACTTGAAGAAAATGATATCTCCATCCTGAACAACATATGTTTTACCCTCCTGTCTGTATTTTCCTGCGGCCTGCATTAGTTGAAAGGATTATAAATTAAACCATGTAAACGCCATGAACAATAGAAATTTTCACAGCATACGATTAATTTAATCATGCCATCTTCAACGAGGATATCTTGGACAATGGGGAGCTTCCTTAACATTTTCATGTCTGTTTTTAGACCTTAAGAGATGGGAGTTATAGACAAGTACCTTGACTGCAGGTTCATTGCCAAGTTCCTTGAGATCCTCGAATTTCATGACCTGTGGACATCAACAACAACATTGGAATAAATCACACTGAATTTCAAAACATAAAAATCAGGTAAAATATTGATTTCTTTGTGAAACTGAAGAATCTAGATATTGTTTGCATTAGGATTTTGCATTGATATCTACAGGCCTGCACAGATACTAAGAAATCAACACCAAGATGAAAATGACAGTGTATGCAAGCATTGTTTATGTCAGTAAAAACATAAGAAAGGTTATATAAAATCTTTAACAGAACAAATCATCAAAACCTGGAGGGAAAAGGCTTTACGCACGCAAATTTTAGGGTAGGAATAAACTAGTGAATTGACCAAGATTCAAGAGAAATGAGAAAAAGGTACCTCAGCACAAATAAATCCTCTCTCAAAATCAGTATGAATGGCCCCTGCAGCTTGAGGAGCCTTTGACTGCCTTCGTATTTGCCAGCACTTCACCTGCAAAGTAAAATATCATTTATGGATGTATATTATAAACCATCAAATTCCAGTAAAAATGCACTACTTGACACGACCATACACTACCAAATAGCTTATTACAGAAAAATAATGCTTAGAAGAACATCACAGAGAAAGCGTGTGGTGAAGCCAAGTAAATTACTAGTAAAGTGGGATTATTAATACCTCATCAGGCCCTGCTGTAAAGAAATATATGAGATTAATGGCTGAAAATCCAGTTTTGATGATCCTTGGAAGAGCACTGTCAAAGCAGCAATGGCCATAAGATTCAATTTAACAGATTCATAAAGAAAATCATCTTCAGGAGCAACTATTCATTTGCAAGAACGCTATGCCATTCTTTTACTCCTAACCTTTGAAGTTTGTTCTCCTCACAATACTTTGCTGCTTCATCTGGGGCCATATCAGCGAGACTCCTTTCAAACACACCACTGAAAGGAATCATAGTATCACCACCGTGTTCTTGAACCCTACGCAGCGACAGATATTTTAAGTTTAGGAGAAGTAAATGCGTCAGCACATAGCCATAGGAGAAGTATAATCAGGTAAGTGAATGCGTCAGCACATAGGGGGGGGGGGGGGGGGGGGGGGGCAAAATGTTTTACTTTTTTATTCAACATAGTTTTTGAAGGGATAATATATATGAGTACCAGGCATGAATCTTCGGCAAGAATTTGTTTTTCTTCCTCTGATAGTCCCTCTCATTCATGTTAATCTGTAATTTAAATTTCAGAGTATCAGAAAAAGTCCAACCAACATGCCTTAATAGTTCTACACTGAGATGAAACATTTAGTTGAAACAAACATGAAAAGCATAGAGATCAGAAAAGGCTAAGGAATACATTATGGTTAATCTGGGAGCAAATAGTGTCACAAAAATAGACAGTATGCCATTATATTTGGTAAACTGACCGAACAATTTGTTGGAACAAACTTGTCGACTGTAGATATCAAAGAAGCAAAAGCATTTATCTTGATAGAAACAATGGTTACAAAAAGAGATGAACATTCGAGACTACTCACCAAGTAGACAACGGGCTTTGCAGAAAGCAATTGGAAAGTGTTCAAAATCTCGATATCAGCTGTTTTCCAGTCCCCAAAACGGACATCCTTTCCATCTTCCAGCCAAGCTTTTACCTATACCAGAGAGGTACAGTTATTTTCTCGGCCAATTAATAATTAGTGACCACTGACCAATAACATTCACAGAACAAGACTGCATGGTTGTCAATTCATAAACATACCTTTTGCAAGAGCTCAAGTTCTATTTTTAGCTGCTTGTCATTGCTCCTCTTCATGCTCTTCTCGACATCATCAATCTTCTTTCCAACGAATTCAATATCCTAAAGTTCCACCAAAGAATTCAGTATGAAAGCAAAACAACAATGGAAGAAATGAATAACAAAGATCCAACTAATACAAACAACAGACTACTGCATTGATATACACAGAAAGGATTTCACGAGTTCGGAGATATAGCAGTCAATATCTGTCTAGAGATTTGATTCACCTTTAGCCGCAACTCTTCAGTAATGGTCTCCAAATCTCTGACAGGATCCACGACATCGTCGACATGGATAATATCAGCATCTTCAAAAGCACCTGCATATGTTCAAACGAGAAGTCACTAACCAGTATATAACTGACAAGATATCTTATTATCAACAACCCTAAAAAAAATATTCAAGAACAGATATGCATTTGAGAGTACATAAACTAATTATCGCAATGGCCCTCTAGGTATCAAATGAGAAGATAAAAAATACAAAGGTTTTTAACCAGTGATTCATTGAAAAGCCTATGGTTTTTCTTGTTGCTCAATTAGAAATTCAATCCAGTACAAGTAGCATGTACAGTCCAATTTATTCATCAAATCACCATTTCAACCACGCATCACACTAAAACTAAGCTGGTACTAGGAGAAAAAAAGAGAAGGAAAAACCATACGTAAAACATGGAAAATTCCATCAACTGCACGAATATGAGACAAGAAGTTGTTTCCAAGACCCTGTCCTTCATGAGCTCCTCTCACAAGCCCAGCAATGTCATGAATTTCCAAGAAAGCTGGAATCTGAGGCATCACAATAGACAGAAGTCAGCCTCTTTATTCATGGAGTAATTCAGATAGTAGTAATCTCCTTACAAACTTACCTCACTCTTAGGCTTGTAAGTTTGGCAAAGCCAATCGAACCTCTCATCGGGGATATTCACACGTGCCTCATTAGGCTCAATGGTACAAAAGGGGAAATTCTCAGCTGGAATTGAAAGCTTTGTAAGAGTGTTGAAAAGAGTAGATTTTCCAACATTTGGTAACCCAACCTGCGATGCCACAAACAAATCTCATGGTGAGTTACATTCAATAATTCTCTCCATCATCATATCAACCAACCATGAATTCTACAATCAAACTTAATCACTGTATCAAAGAAGCAGTTTCTAAAATATGGATTAAGTACATCTAAAAGACCACAGTGACAAACAATATCCTCATGCATCACTAATGACCATTTCCTCTTGATGAGTTAATAGATCTCCTCCGGCAAAACTCAGAAGAATTTTTTTTAAAAAACACACTTTTATCGATGAAAGTATTGCGATTGAGCAAATCTTCCATTCACCATTCGAAATGAATCAACTTGTATTCTAAATTTGCTTTTCGAAAAAAAGCAAGATAAGAGAGATGAAGAGAAGAATTACAATTCCGATATTGAGGTGAGAAGAGAAACGGCCAAGAATAGGCCTCTCTACGGGACCTGCATCTTTAGCTTTGGCTTTCGGAGGCATCTTTCTCAAAGTGTCGAGCTTGAAAGTGAAGCGAAGCAGAGAGATTCTAGGGTTTTTGCTGATTAACAAAAGCTAGCAGACGCTGAGGTTAAAGAGGAGAGAGATTGGGTCACCTGACCGGTTTAAATCGGAGGGTCATTTTCCGGTTTAGCTTGAACCATTTGCGGAACATTTACCGAAATAAAGAGCTATATTAACCAATTGTGAACAGAGTAAACCAAAATTGAACACTAACCGAGAGATCAAAGCGTAGGAGTAGAGAAAAATAACCGAAATTAAACCGAAAATTACGTCAGGTAACCGAGTAAAAAAGTGTAATCCGTTTTGATTTCTACTAAACCAACTGACTAAATTTTACTTCATAGATGTTCTTCAAAATTTTGCTACAAAACCACTCATGTTTCATAATTATCCAACTTCTTTGACATGACACACTTGCTAAGAGATTGTACTAAGAAACCTAATTAGCAAAATTGCATTCCCTCTCTCTCTATTAGATTAAGAAGGATTCAGGAGGACTAGTGGATGGTCTGATTCTTGAAGGCATCTTCAAGAGCCTCTCTGTTTCTCGCATGAAAGAGTGTTTTGGAGTTACAGACATGTTCATCTCGCTATCAAGTTCAACGTCATCGTCATCGTCCTCCTCACACTCTGCATCTCCATTCACTATGACCTCATCACAAAGCTCATCGTCATCATCTTCCTCATAAGTCGTTTTCTCCATTAACCAGAAGTTGAAGTACGGGGAGATATAGCTTCAAGAATTGACAAGAAAAACGTGTCAGAAAGTTGCAATGCAACTACTTTGATTCATCAGACATTTTATCATATTAAACATACTTTTCAATGTCATTGCAAGAATTTGCGTCAAATATGCCCAAGTAGGGTAAATTGATCCAGTGAGTCAAGGATCCAGTGAGTCAAGAATCTTATATAAGATTCTCATATTGATTTGTGCTTACTTTGGCAGAGAAAAAATATCAACAGTAAAGATAGCAAACCTGCTAGACATTTTCAACAAGCACGGGTCAAACGGGAAGAATGTGTCAAGCCTTTCAAAGCCACCAAAAGCACGAGAGAGCTCAGACTCGTGTAGGTCATCGAAAATGAAGGATTCTGAGACAATGAATAGACCACCAGCTTTGGCTTGTTTAAGGAACTCGGAAACTACAGATGGGAGGCATACCTGTTCACACAAAACCAATGGTGCAAGCATAATGCATTTGATACTTGGGGTGAAGACCACTTAAAAAAACAGTTGAGCTATGAGAAGAAAATGATTAGTGTAAGTCACCCACCATCAGTGGGTTTAGTTTGTAAGATAAAATTGACTCCAATGATGTAAGCTGCGATTGAAAGCGAGGAATGTCCAGTATGGATCTCATCTGGAAGCATAGCAAATACAAGATTGCCTACAGTCACAGAAAAGTAACAACTTTAAGCGCTACATGACATAATAGCATATGATCCCAAACGCCAATAAGCTTCTGGTAAGGGTGAGAACATTAACAATGATTGATTACTAGAGACAACAATGATTTGACAGAAGAGTTCTTAAGGAATAAAAAGCCATAAGATGGTCTTAAACTTGGAGTATACCTGACATCCAGAATAGAACACTTGATGTGCTTCTGGCTTCACATCATCGTTGCATGTTCTGCAATATTCCGCACAATCGTCCACCAATCTAGGATTTCAGCAAAAGAGAAACTATGTTACAACAAAGTGAAACTTGAATCAGATCAAACAATTACATTTTCCGTTTTTTAACAATATATTTGTACCTTTTCAACATGCTAGCCACAAAAGAAGCAGGCACAAACTTTCCACGAGACAAGTAGCTAGCTAGATAAGCCACTGCACTCATCCTGTTTAGTATGGGGAGAAAACAAAAGCATATACCAGTGGTGATTAGAACAGTATCAGCTTGTTATCATGCAGAGAAATCTTCACCACAAAGGATAAGATTAAACTCGCCTAGTAAGTCGAGGTTTGTTTCTGGAGAGATATATGTCCAACAGCTTACTGGCAAATCTCACACCACAATATTCAGGATCTAGCGAGCACGCATAGAACATCAGAAACTGCAGATTAAAGTAAAGTGAATCTAAGCCAAGACATCACATGCCGATAATGAACTAGTGCTAGACTGCTAGAAGCCTACAATTACAAATTTTGTAGTATGTAAGGTGATAGCTTTGATGCCTACCTGTGAAAATTTTGTTTTGTACGTGTTCAGAATATAGTTCTCAAACGACTGAAAGAGGATTTCAAATACCTACGTCAAAATGAAAAACAGAAACACCAAAAGATTAATGAATCTACCACAAAGGAAAGGAAAAATATGATGAAGAAGTACCATTTGGTGCTATACCTCATCCAAACGACCAGAGTTTTGACAGAATTCAAGATGATCAAAAAATAGGACCATCAATTTGTCCAACAGCTCAGAGACTACATTTCCACCTGAAGTATTTTGTTTTAGATCCCGCACTGGAAACTGCAAAAAGGTATCTAAGTTATGAATGATGGCTCCAGGAAACCAGAGGTCATGTCCAACATTTCACAGCAAGAGAAAATGGTATCTTATAATCAAGAAACTTTCGATCATTACTAAACAGAGTAAGTTTCGGGATTCTGCAAAGATAGCAAAACATTACACTAACCATACCTCGTCTCCTTCATTCATAGTGCTTTCAACTGCATCTTCAAGTTCCATATAAAACATGCCTCTATTAGAGTCATCTTGGAGAATATCATCGCATCCAATTTCCAACTACAAAGATGCTCCAGCATATCATTCACTTACCATTTTACTTGGTAGCTACATTTGTATAAACAATTTACATCTACTTACATCCCAATCTCGCATCCTCGCCATCACCATCATGAGAATCACACTGCCAATAACTTTTCCGATTGAGCTGTTCTCCAACTTCAACAGGTTATCCACATATGTCACTATAGACTACAAGACAATAAGATAGTGTCAGTTTGTTTACCACCAAAAATAACCTCACTGTTACATTGTCTAAATTTTTAACCAAAAAAAACTTACAGGGTCCTTCTTGTCAATATTAGGCATGTTCTGCACAAGTATAGGCACTAATTTCGAGGGAGCAAGAGGAATTAAATAAGAAATCTTGTGAAGGGCTACATGCACCCGTGGAAGAACTTCCTGCTTCTTTTTGACTAACTGGCTTTGTGAAACTTCATGCTTAAAAGTAGGTTGTTTGAAATTACTTATGAGCATATTCAAACAACGATCCAGGTATTTTCCACTAGTAGCGGCCTAATGATGGGGAAACAACAGAAACACAAAATGTTATTCTCTTCAACCAGATTATATATTCATTGACATTAGGGGTAGTTGCCGAGTTGTGTACCAGTGATATGATTAGGTCCACCGATGCATCCATGACATTAGGCTCTTGAAACCACAAGCTCATCCCAAAAATCTAATCACAATAAATGGGATGAAACTCAGAGGGCATGTCTTTTAACAAGTATATATGGATTCAACTGTGAGCTACTGAGCTCATTCAATAAAAACGTACAGTTCTAAGAAGATCTTCATGGTGAACTCCATCTATGCAAGCAACAGAAACTGATAGAATTCTCAAGACTGTCTGCAAAACGAATGAAAATGAAGATATTTTAGTATAACAACAAATTCAAAACAATAGTTGATTATGACTCATATGAGGGAGGAAAAGGACACACCTCAAGCTGTGCCACTGCATCGAAATCAGAATAGTCTTTATAGCACATCACTGTTTTAAGCTGACTATAATCGTCGGTATCCCCCTGGATTTGATAAAAGAAAACACTTTTAAAGAACACAACCATTACAAAACAATAGCACACACAAATATATATATATACATAGTGTACTTGGAAGAAGTAACATATGTGCAACACTCACATTTTGGACAGATGCAAGGGCCTTTCTAACAGCATGCACCAATTCTGTGTCGCTATAATCAGCGTTGTCCATTGCATTTGAGCTGAAAGGAACACTCGGAACTTCTTCTGCTCCCATTCTCTATCAACACAAAAGACAGCTGGTATTGCCAAGAACAAAACAATCCATCATAATGCAAGGAGCAGGAAAGTAACCAGATTGGGGATAAAGAATTATGTATAAGCCTATAAGAAACCCTAAAAATTTTCTTCTAAACAAGGAAACAACGCCTAGAACCAAAATTAAACAAAGGTTAGAGAACTCACAACGATGAACAATTGTACTCGCTCTGCTTCACTTAGCTCAGTTACCAGAAGATAGCAAATTTCTCCGAAATTTCAGAAATTTATCCGAACCCTGGAAAGAGTAGAAGGAAAACGTTAAAGGGTTAAGCTTTTTGTGATTCTCCAACGTCTTCTTCTTCTTCTTCTTCTCTGTATCGGCTAATGAGGCAGAGGAAGAACAGAGAAGTTCGATGGATCCGCGAAACCCTCAAAATTAGTTTTAACTCTTCTTTATATATTTAAAAAGCTAATGACGAAAATACCCCTTCAGTTTATTTTTAATATTTGTTTATTTGGACCTTGTATTTTTTGTTTCGTTGTGTTTTGGTATTTAACTATTGTTTGTTACTCTCAACACCCCCACACTGGGAAACAAAGCTCAAGATTCAAGAAGAAGACCACTTTAAATACTCAAAAACAACAACAAAAGATCAAAAGCTTGGATTAGATTAATTCAATCAACTTCATCATTCCAAACACATTTACAAACTACAAATCTCTCTAAAGCTTTTTAAGCAATGCACAAAAACATTCATTAACTAACCCCAAAAAAGGAAAAGAATTTATCAACTCTCTCAAGTTTGTTTCATCATCACACTAAAACTCTGCATATAACAAACCTATTTTTCAGACAGCAATCTTGTAGATGACTGCAACCGGAATGTTAACAACGTGACCTCTATCTCCAAACAGTCCAATTCTCCCAAAACTCGCTATTGAAACATTCTTCATCGCTCGAAAGACGAGACTCAAGACCCGTGTCTGCCCGTTTCCGATTGTAAACTTGGCAGGTGAGACCTTAACCGAGACTGAGTCAGGTGTCATCCACCCGACTGTATATGTTTCGTTTGTAGCCGTGGTTGCGATATTAGTCACCCATCTTAGCACAGTTCGAGTACCAACGAGCTTAGCTATTGTGACTGAGGGTAGGTTCAAGTCAGAGGCTGCAAGGGAGGAGTTGTACGCCGAGCAGCTTTCACCGGTGTAGTTCAGAACAACTGGAGATGATCCGTTGATGCTACAGAGAAACTTCATGTATTCATTGTAACCTACATTTGCAGCAACACTTCATATCAGTTGTTGATCTCTTAGTATCAGTGAAATCATTTCTCCTTTTTATGCTCAATGGGTTCAAGAAAGCACTTACCTATGTCGAAAATCAAACCAGGGTCAAGAGCTGCAGTTGCATTGACGAATCCGCTACCCATATCGAAAGGTGTTGCAGGGGACTGACTAATGTCGGGGTTTAAGACAGTGCGTTGTGCCATTATATGCTCACCCTTTCTGTCTGATAGAGAAGCCGTTGTTGAAAGTGCGGATGCAATGGCTGCAGGAGTGAAATGTGGGAACTTCTGCTTGATGAGCGCCGCGATACCTGTTACATGTGGAGCAGACATGCTTGTCCCCGATTCCATCGCAAATCGTTCACCTAAATACCGCCAATTCAAGAGCTCAAAAAGACTACCAGAAACACATAATGAGTAATCTGATAAGGAGAGATGAGGGTATGTGTGTACCTTGAAAATCATTTGTACCAATGCCAAGAGGACTCCAAGCGCCCCATATCGCGTTTCCGGGAGCTACTAAGTTAGGTTTCATTATATCAGCATCAACAAAAGAATCATCTTCTGGGTCAGGTCCTCTAGCAGAGAAATACATGACCTTGGGAGCTGTAATGCCATAGGTAGGCTTCATGCCACCAACAATTCTAGCAACTGATGCAGACCCAACTATTTTGCCTGAACCATTTTCCCTCAACAGAGAAGAATTGTAATACCGGAGTAAAGCCTGCATGTAGACCATAGGAAGAGCTAAGTTACATTCTTGTTCAGAATGTAATAGACTACTTCACATTTTCAGATTTTGATCATACCTGAGAATATTGAGGGGAGGAGATTAAAATTCCCGGTATATCCATCGGAGTTGAAGTCATCTGAAAACCAGTGGCTGAAGGATCTATATAGAAGACAAGGCCTGCTGCTGTTAAGTTCTTAGCTGTTATTAAGGCTTGTTTGATGGTTGAGACACCGAGAATGAACCGGACTGTATAGCTACAGACAAGGATCTTTCCATGCACCAGCTTCTGATCAAAGCTACTTGAATCTTGGCATTCCCCAACATATATAGCATCCATAACGGTTGTACCATTGCCGAGCGCATGTGTAGCTAAAACAAGTTTGTGCATTGTTCTTGTACCAGCTAATAAAACATGAGAAACCAGTTAGGTCAGGCCTAGGTGGTAATCAAGATAGAAGAAGGTAAGCTATAAACAAAAATGGACTTACATGCGAGTCCAACTCCAGGGATAGTGACATTATTTCCGAGGATTATCGAGTTACTATATACTCTATCATGAGATGTAGCTCCAACTGTAAAGATCCATGGACTGAAGGAAGACATGCTCTTAGGAGCTGGTCCTGTGTTTCCAGCTGCTTGCACTACAAAGATCCCGGCTTTCACAGCTGAAAGCAATGCCATATCGATCGGGTTAAAGAACGTGGCAATGCCAGGAGGACGTCTATTTGGTGTGATTGATAGGTTTATTATGTCAACTCCATCTTGAGCCGCCTGCAAAAGCAAACATCCATAACCATGTCAAACATAAGAAAAACTGTTTCAAAAATGTCCGGTTTCAAAAGTAAACAATGTTTTACCTGATCTATGGCTGCAATGATATCTGCTGCAAAACCTCCAAACCTCTTATACAATGCCTTGTAAATAGCAATACTAACAAGAAAAGACAAGACATTTAATTTCTCTGTGAATTGTTTCCAAAGCGAATATCATTCTGTGGTATCGACTTACTGAGCACGAGGAGCCATCCCGCTAGCATTTCCAAGGTGATGACCGGCAACTACCACCGGGATCCCGTGATTCCCAGCTGCAACAGAAGCTGTGTGCCTGAACAAATCAACCAATATCAGACTTAACCATTTGGTGGTTAATTAGCTAATCAGCATCAAGTGGGTTGTATACACTTACGTGCCATGCCCTTCACCATCAAACGGTGAAGCATCGTCCTGAGATGAATTCAAGACTCCTCTACTGAGAGCAGACTCAGCAAAATGGCGTGCTCCAATAAGCTTCCTATTGCAAGAACCAGGCGGGAAACCAATGGTAACTTCGCAGACGCCAGTAAACCTAGGAGGGATCGAATATGTATGCCCGGGGATTTTGTCACTGAAACTAGGATGAGTAGGATCAATACCAGTATCAATAAACCCTATAACAACTCCTTCTCCTGCATATTCAGAGCCTCCATCACGGAGCCAAGCTCCACGAGGCAAACCTAAGAACTGCGGTGTGTGAGTGGTTGCTTTCTCAACCGGAAAATCCAGAACCACATTGTCCACTTCTTCTCTAGCCGCAAGTCTATCAGCCTAAAGAAAAAAAAACAGTTTTCAAACTCATGAGCTCAAAACAATGAACAAACACTAACATTTAGACATTCATATCTGTTTCTAAGACAATATAAGTACCTGTTTTCGAGTAAGAACCGCGGAAAACCCATTAATGAGATAGTGGTAACTGTACAGCTTAAGGTAATTCTCCTTTCTCAATACTTTTCTCAGCAAAGAATCGTGAACTCTAATTATAGAAGCGCTTCGGTTCCTATATGTATAAGCATAGAGATTAGGATCATACTATAGCATAAAAGTTCCAGCTTGAAGGGAAAAAATTCATCAACATTAATGTTAATGGCTTCGTTTAACAGCATAAGCATAAAGGTTTCAACTTGGAGCATCAGTTTAACAGGCATGCCTATATATCCGTTTAGACTTCAGGAAAAGACCAAAGACACAGGAGACAAGTAATCTGGGACCCAAAATTGACGAATTTCAACTTATGTCGGCCTATGAAGATTGGGAAGAAAAAAAAAACAAACCCTCCCGGAAAAAGCAACAGCGATTCTACGAAATATTGAGAGACGAAATCAAGCCTTGGATAAAGATTGAAACTTTGAAGACAAAAAGAAAGAAAGGTAACTTTTTTACATACAATGTTCTGTAAATGTGGTATGAAGTAGCGGTAAGGCTGTGTTTGGAGCTACTCGATTCTCTGCCGGAGAAATGAACTAATGGACGGTTCTTTAGAGTAACTATATAAACAGCAGATGAAACGGTTGCGTTTTGGTCAGAGTCATCCAAACAGAACACAGACGACGAAACCAAACAGAGCAGGAACACAAAACGCACAAGAGTAGACTCCTCCATGGTTCTTGAGCTGAAATTCTCAGAAGAAAAGAGGAAAAGACCGGAAATTGCAGAGACCCATTATAGCTCCATGGAAGTAAAGTAGAGAAACGTATCTCAGAAGTAGCAGAGAAGGACGAAGAAAGAGGAGAGAGAAAGAGAGAGTTAAGAGGGTTTTAGAGAGTACAATGGTCTGAGAGAGAGTACTTTTAGCTGGCAGAAAGAAGTAAAAGCGTTCTCGGTTTCTGAATGTTTTATTAATGCAAAATGCAAAGATCGGTGGAAGACTTTTAACTTGTTCTCACTTGTAGTTTCCTATTGTTTCCAAGTGTGTTTATGCTTCATAATGCATCTGTGTAGCCTTTACTAACATTAAAAAATGTTGTCTCTTATTTCATTTTTGGCCTATTCAATATAACATCATTCTTAAGTGTTTTTATATGATACTATAATACAAGTTCATTTATTTGGCACACATAAGTAGGAGAAAAACAAATTCCAAAACTCTTGTTGAATTTACATTAATCAAATGTTGCATGTTGATGTTGTTATGCTAAATGGGTGAAACAAATGAAAGTGGTCATATACAAAAAGATCTTCGAGTCTTTTGGTACTTTAAATTCTTTATTTGTCTTTTATCATTTAGGTGACGTTTTGTTGTATTTTCCAACGGTAAGATTCTATGAGAAGTCGCTTTTGTTCTCTCCTTAATTACCATCCGTGACTTTTCTTTGACCATTTTCAGCCAAAACACCAAAACCGATCACACCATAACGGATTTATCCGGTTAAGACCAAAATAATCATCCCTGGGTACCAAATAAAAACCAAGATTAAACCTATTTCCTAGCAATCTACGACCATGAGAATAAGATGTGCTTTATTCTAGAAATGCATGAGATGAGGAAAAAAAAGCTATAAAGCAATAATTATTACCACATCAAAAGAAGTAGGTCCAACTTATACTTTTTAACCTTTTAATTAACACGAGTCATGACTCATTATACTCACTTTACATCATTTCTCTTGTATTTTAACCGTTGAAGACCAAAATAATGGATTCTATTATCACCATCATCTTTTGCGTTGGTTTCAACTCATACTAACACTAAAAAACCATCTCCTTTTATGGTTACCACTTACTAATGATCCAGTAATTCGACCAAACCGGTTAACTCAAAATCTTGTTTATTTTTCACTTATCGAACCGGACAATGTTCATGCTGGATTCACGGATTATGGACCAAAGTCACAAAACTACCATGGTTTAACAAAAAAGAAAAAAAACAACTAAGCGCTTGATTGGTTTTCCCGCTAGCACCCGTCTAACGGTTACTAGCGATCGGTTGATGTTGTTAGTGGTCGGTACCAATCATAGAAACTGCATAGTTATTAATTTGCATTTTGGAATTTTAGGTTAGTGATTCGTCATTTTACGATTCGAACCGTTTCCGGATTAGGCCTATTAAGATAACAAACTAAGATAATGGGTTTAGATCACCAGGCTTAAGCCCAATAATAGCTGTCACATATCAAAAAAACAACATCCCGTTTCTGCTTACATAAAACTACGCCGCGTTAGTTTTGACTAGAGAGAAACGTCAAGTAGTTTTATTCGTCTAGCCACGTCGGCCGTTGACGATAGCCGATAGGGTTCAACGACGATTGCCTCTGATAATTTCGAACTTTTGTAGAGCTTTAGTGAAGATACAAAAATGGCGGTGACGATTTCGACGAATGCTTTCGTAAATGCATCGTTTTTAGATGAAAGTCGGAATTTTTTCTGGAAACCATTGTTCCCTCAGCCGTACTATAATTGCCGACGAGTCGTTCGTCTGAATCCGAGGAAATCGAAGACAAAGGTAATGTTCTGCTTGAATTTGAACACGAAGGAGGTTGGGATGCAAACGTCGGGTGATAAAGGTTTTGAATTCAAACCCAGTTTTGATCAATACTTGCAAATCATGGAATCGGTTAAAACAGCGAGGAAGAAGAAGAAATTCGACAGATTGAAAGTTGATGAAGATGATGGTGGAGATGGAAATAGTGATAGTGTTGATTCGGAAGTGAAAGATGGTGTTTCCTCGAGGCAATTAGAATTGGATAGAGATGGAATAAAAGATGTGAAGAGTAAGAGTGGTGAAGCAAAAAATGAAAGTTTCAGGAGGAGATACTCAAGGCAGGAGATTGTAAGTGATAAACGTAACGAGAGAGTTTTCAAGAGGAATGGAGAAAGTGGAATTCAGAGAATAAACAATGATGTGAAATGGAGTAAGAGTGGTGTGTCTTCAGTGACTGTGCAAGAAGATGAGAGCTTTAGGAGAAGGTACTCGAAGCAGGAGCATCACCGTTCCTCTGAAACATCGAGAGGTATTGAGAGAGGTTCCAAAGTTGGTGAATTGGATCTTGTTGTTGAAGAAAGGAGATTTCCGAGAATAGACAAAGATGTAAGATGGAGTAAGAGTGGTGAATCTTTAGTGCATGCGTCAGAAGATGAGAGCTTTAGGAGAAGGTACTCAAAGCAGGAGTATCACAGTTCCTCTGGTACATCGAGAGGTTACAAAGGAGATGAATTGGAGCTTGTTGTTGAAGAAAGGAGATTTCCGAGAATAGCCAAAGATGCAAGATGGAGTAAGAGTGGTGAATCTTTAGTGACTGTGTCAGAAGATGAGAGTTTCAGGAGACGGAATCCGAAGCAGGAGATGCTGAAGTATCAGCGTGTCTCTGATACACCGAGAGGGATTGAGAGAGGTTTCAAAGGAGATGGATTGGATCTCCTTGCTGAAGAAAGGCGAATTGAGAGATTAGCCAACGAGAGGCATGAGATAAGGAGTAGCAAATTGAGTGGAACCAGGAGAATTGGTGCTAAGAGAAATGATGATGATGATGATAGCTTGTTTGCCATGGAAACTCCTGCCTTTAGGTTTTCTGATGAGTCCAGTGACATAGTGGACAAGCCAGCTACTTCACGAGTCGAAATGGAAGATAGAATCGAGAAGTTAGCAAAAGTGTATGTGTTTATGGTATTATCTAGATTTGGTTCAAGTATGGAAGAAAAAACTTAGGAGTAAATAATGATTTGATTTGGTTATGTGCTAGTGCAGATGAAATTAGGGGGTGATATCAGTACATTTCTCATGAAATTATTATCATATTCAGCTGAATTTTATGTTAAGGAAGTTTATTTCGCTAGGTTGAATGGTGCAGACATCAATATGCCTGAGTGGCAGTTTTCCAAGGCGATCCGGAGTGCAAAAATCAAATACACGGATTACACTGTAATGAGACTGATCCACTTTCTAGGGAAACTAGGAAACTGGAGACGAGTTCTTCAAGTCATCGAGTGGCTTCAAAGGCAAGACCGTTACAAATCGAACAAGCTAAGGTATATATTTACTGACTATTCTAAAAGTGAGCTGTGGATATATTGCATTGGGAGCCCGTTTGATTTCACTTATAAAGGTCCAGAATCTCTTCTAAAAAACATAATGCTGACAAACAAATCACCATTTTGGATCCAGAATCATCTATACAACTGCACTAAACGTTCTTGGTAAATCAAGGAGGCCTGTGGAAGCTCTCAATGTATTCCACGCTATGCTGGTAAAACCCTTGTGCCATGCTTGTATATGTTATTGTTGCTTTTGATATAATTTGAGTTAATCTTTTTTCTTTCTTCGCCAGTTACAAATTTCATCATATCCGGACATGGTAGCCTACCGCTCAATTGCAGTCACACTTGGACAAGCAGGGCATATCAAGGAACTCTTCCATGTGATTGATACAATGCGATCTCCGCCTAAAAAGAAGTTCAAGCCAACAACACTTGAAAAATGGGATCCCCGACTTGAACCAGATGTTGTTGTTTATAATGCGGTCAGTAATTTATAATTATCTCATTCTTATGATTATATATAGCCTACACTTATTCTCGGAAACATAAAGTCACTCTCCTGATAAATGCTGGACATCTAACCACAGGTGCTCAACGCATGTGTTCAACGAAAGCAATGGGAAGGAGCATTCTGGGTATTGCAACAGTTGAAGCAACGTGGGCAAAAACCTTCTCCTGTAACCTATGGTCTTGTCATGGAGGTGAATTATCTCTTCTTCTCATAACAGTTAATGTTGCATAGCAACACTATTGAGTAGTGGATTTGTATTTGTGTCTAAGTAGGTGATGTTAGCATGTGAGAAGTACAATTTAGTTCATGAATTCTTCAGGAAGATGCAGAAATCTTCTATCCCTAATGCTCTAGCATATAGAGGTATTTTGTGAACTCTTTGTTCTTTTTCTTTAGATTATTAGTATTTGAATTTCTCACTGAAGAGTAACCATTTGTATCTGTGATCAGTTCTTGTTAATACTCTATGGAAAGAAGGTAAAAGTGATGAGGCCATACATACGGTTGAGGATATGGAAAGCCGTGGTATTGTTGGATCAGCTGCTCTTTACTACGACCTTGCTCGCTGTCTTTGTAGCGCAGGAAGGTGTAATGAAGGTCTCAATATGGTAAATTTTGTGAATCCAGTAGTCCTTAAGCTTATCGAGAATTTGATTTAAAAGGCTGATCTTGATCATACCATCCAATGTCAGCTTAATAAGATATGTAGAGTTGCAAATAAACCTCTCGTGGTGACTTACACTGGCCTGATCCAAGCATGCCTCGACTCGGGAAACATCAAGAATGCAGCTTACATCTTCGATCACATGAAGAAGGTCTGCAGTCCGAACTTGGTCACTTGCAACATAATGATAAAAGCTTATCTACAAGGTGGGTTCTTTGAAGAAGCAAGGGAACTTTTCCAGAAGATGTCCGAAGACGGAAATCATATAAAAATCAGCTCGGATTTCGAATCAAGAGTATTGCCAGACACGTACACGTTTAACACGATGCTAGACGTGTGTGCTGAACAAAAAAAGTGGGATGATTTTGGTTATGCGTATCGGGAGATGTTGCGTCATGGATACCATTTCAATGCGAAACGGCATCTCCGAATGGTACTTGAAGCTAGCAGAGCAGGAAAGGTAAAAAACAAAAATGAGACAAATTTATACATTTTGGTTGGAATTCTTATGTTATCATCTTGTCTAAACAATCTCTCGTGTGTGTGTGTGTTTGTGATCAGGAGGAAGTGATGGAAGCGACATGGGAACACATGAGACGAAGTAATAGAATTCCGCCATCGCCTCTAATCAAAGAAAGATTCTTCAGGAAACTCGAGAAAGGCGATCATATTTCGGCTATCTCGTCTCTTGCTGATCTTGATGGAAAAATTGAGGAGACCGAGTTACGAGCATTTTCGACTTCCTCATGGTCCAGGGTCTTGTCCCGATTCGAGCAAGATTCAGTTTTGAGGTTAATGGACGATGTGAACAGACGCGTGGGTTCAAGAAATGAGTCTTCGGATTCGGTTTTGGGGAATCTTTTGAGTTCTTGTAAAGAGTTTCTGAAGAACAGAACACAAGGCGTTGTAAGTTAATTATTAAGTTAAAAAGCAAAGGCTGTGATGTTCTGATTCCTTCTAAATAGAAAATAATTAGGAGAAGGGTAATATAATGTGATTACATATAAATTATATAATGGATAGATGCATGGTGCTTGCAAGCAAACACATAATCTGGATATCATGTAATGGAGAGAGCAAAGATTGTAACTAAAATTCAAAAATAAATGTGTAATTTTGGAATGTGAAGGGGCAAAGGATGTGATGTCGTATCTCATGCCACCTAAAAGGAAACGTAAATTAATAGAAAAGTTGCATGTCGCGTGGGAATGTATATGGATGGTCAATGGTGGAAGAGCGATAGTACAAGAGAGTCAATGTGCATGGAGTCGTTGGTCGCTTTGCTTCATAACAATGCAATTGCAAACTTGTCTAATGTAATGAAGTCAAACACACATAAACCTATAACTTTCTTTTAAATATATATCTGATTTTAATAATAATTTTAAAAAACCAGTAAACTAATTTTGATAATTAGATCACTCAATACTTTTTCTTTTTGAATAATCATTACATGCAGCTATTAACAATGCATGTTTGTGATGATTTGATAATATTCGGACTGATTATAACTAATCCTAATGGATAGTAGAATAATTAAAAGTTTGTGTGACAAATAGTGTAATAAAATAAAAGCGATACCAAACAATATAAATGTGAGTAATTGAGCATTGTTAGAACAGGTGGGTAAATTATCAATCAGCATCACTCATCAGCACTAAGCAACAAATACTAAAACCTTTTTTAAAAAAGATTATACTATATGAATAGTAGTAAAACAATAACATAATGTAAAAGACACCTAATGATTTGAAATTATCGAATGGACAATCATTATTGATTATCCTTCTACCCACAGAGTGATAACAAGAATTTCATTCAATTGTAATTGCTAAAAGTAATTGTAAAGAATCTTTCACAGAATGAGGCTCACAGAAATTATTCCAGAGGTTTTTCTATATAAAAAAAAAACTAACGATTGCACCAACTATATATAGCCGATCGAAACCAAAACATGAAAAAAAAAAAAAATGGTTTCTCACAAATCCGAATTTTTTTTGCGTTTGTTCCACTGACCATTTGGAGCAGTGAGAATTAGTACTCATGGTATTGGTAACACCAATATGGTTTCTCATAGTAGATTGTACCGATAGTTCTTACCGCCTCAGTAATTAGTAATTCTTTGGGATTTCTGCGTTTAAATTTCGGGGTATCTTTATACGAAAAGAAAAATCGTGAGATTCTGAATTGGAAGTTTGTAACCGACAATAAAAGGAGGGGAGAGGAGACATCGCATTTACAAGAGTTTACGTGAGGCCAATTCGCATCGTACGATGCCGTTTAAGATTTCTAAAGACACCAATACACTTACGTGGCGCTACCTCATGGATTTATGCCATGTTTATGTAAACCCCACCTGACATTCACATTATAAATAGTTTTTGTTTTTGTTGCTTTTATTGAGAGCTTCTGTCTTTTATTTCCTAACATTTAAATTCAAACCAATGAAAATAAAGGGTTAAGTATTACTATTGTATTGTAATTATATCTACCAATACCGTCTTTGTATCACCATTAAAATTTAAATATGCGTAATGCATACTATATTCTTTTTCTTTAACTCAACCCCAAGTTACTAAAGTTTGGCATTAAAAAAAATGTCATCAATTCTTATAAGTTACACCTGCTTTGTTCTGCTATTTATTACAAAAAGGTCACTATTACACATCTCACTCCCAGAAGCCAGATTAACAAGCTCTTTTTTAACTACAAATTAGTGAAAACAAGTTCTAAAATTAGTTTATCTAAATTCAAATTGGCATGTTTAATCGAATCATGTACAAAGTATTATATTTTGCAAATTACATTTACTTAATAATATTCATTAAACACCAAATAAATTTTTTAGTTCTGAATTCTGATTGATGATCAAAGATTCAAATGCTGCTATAAAATCATTTTAAACATAATAAGAAATGACTATTCATTTCATTTGGTTCTAAACGCATTTAATTTCATTAATGAAGTAAATAAATAAATAAAAACTATAAACAGAAACATAGAGAATATATCAAAACTAAAAATGTTTTTCTTTTTTTTTCTTTTTTTTTTTTTTTTTTTTTTTTTTTTTTTTTTTTTTTTTTACTAAAAATGTTTTTCATTTTGCCATTACTATCATTTGTGATCACAAAACCACTTAAATGAAATTCTGGCCGACATGTCAGCTCTCGACGGAGTTGGTCTCCACGCACAGTAATCGTCGCAATGACAAGTGAGGCAATTTTATTGGCTAATCGTGCTTTTCCCCTCCCAATAAAGCTCTTCCCTAGAAAATAACCTCAATTACTTAATAATGTACTACTATTGGAGTATTTTCATTAGTACAAAGCTCCCAACTAAAAAATTATGTTATCTCCCACAAAACCTAGTACTGTATTATTATATCTAGCCATCGATTTTTTTTAGAATACAAATTAGTATTTTATTAGAATTCATTTTAGAATTAAAATACAATTTTTGAACATGTAATATAATGAGTGAAGAAAACATGAATTCCTTATATATAATTTAAGAAGTTGAGCTATAAAATGGGGATTCTAGTCATCTACCCTTCTCTGGTAGTTCCACTAGCTTTCAACTGACAGACTCTTTGATCTTGTAGACTTGTACAAGAAAGAGGACCAAGAAGACTCACAGTTCTTCAACTTTTTCTGGCACATTTCGATAATTAAAATCTTTGAAGGGATATGAAGAACGGTCAATATAACTCTAAGAACATTCCACACCATAAACACACATCAAAATCAACTATGAATTTGAGAAATCAAATTCAAATAAAGAAACATCGTAACATAATGTATGACCACTTGAACGATTAGATTTTGGTCCCGAATATTTCTATCAAACATACCAAAAAACTATTTATTTCTGATTAGTCAGGTTTCACTAGAACACTGAACACCGGTGCCAATAAAAAAATGTCACTATGCACAATATTTTCTATAAAAAATGCGATTGAATTGTTAATAGAAAATTAACCGGTTGGATTAAAGTTTAATTAATAATCTTGATTATATAATATACATTCATCTGCAGACTGCGCCATCATTCTTGCTACATGTCATGTTCATATCAAAAGAATCTAAAACCAAAAAAAGCTGACAAAAAAGTCAAATATATTTTTATTTTTATTATTTACAGTATTTTACTAACAAAATTCCTCATTTCTTTAATTTTATTTTTCTTAAAAGACCGAGGAATTTCCGCCATCTCTCTTCTCTCTTTCATCGCTCTCACCGGAACGCGTCTACGAGGTCGCACTACTCTCTTTCCACATCGTACGTTTCCTCTCTCTCTCTCTAAATTCTTCACCTTTAAAGTGAACAAAATTGAATCTTTCTCACAACCCACAAGAAAATTCGAATCCTTTATCTCTCTCTCTCTCTCTTAGTCACGCTTTCGATCATCTCCTCGAATTGTGGTTGGTTCGTCTCTGTTTTCTGTACACAAACCCTGCTGCTGTTGATACACGTGAGCCGCCATCAATGCCCCTCTTTTTGTTTTCTTCTTCCAGGTACGTTTCTTCTTATTGGGTTTTTTTTTTTTGGCGTTTTTTTTAATTCTTGATTTATGCTTTAGTCTCTGCGTTTTCTTTCCTTCTTCCGTTTCTGCTTCTTCTGATGATTCTTCTTCACATTATCTTTCTCTTCTAGGGTTTTTCTATTTACTCTGAAATCAGGATCTTTCTTACTGAATTTCACTTTTTAATTTATTTGGGTTAGTCTTATTTTCATTTTAGATATTTATGTTTTTTGCATTTGTCATTTGTCATGGGACCGACATTGCTCCGACAAGAGTTTCCCAATCTGGGTTTATTTTTATATGTTTTCAAGTGTTTTAATTCAAATAAGGTTTCCGGCAAAATTTTGAAAGTTTTCATCTTTAAATTTGCTATGTAACTCAGTTAATTTCTAAGGGAAAAAGTTTCATCATTTGGTTCTTGTCAATGCTATCTTAACTCTTCTTTGTGCATTTCTCTGTTTGAGTTCTGTGGCTAAGGTTGTTTTGTAGAGATAATTTTAATCTTGAGAAAGTTCTCAGTTTTTGGGGTTTTGTAGAAAATAATTCAAAGTTTGGTCTTTTGCAGCTGATTTAGGGTGGTGCTGATCAACTTACATCTAGTGTTGTTTCCGCGAGCTGAAGTGAATCAAAATGTTTAATTTTGGTCGAGCAAGAAGCCAAGGGAGGCAAAACAGATCTATGTCTCTTGGAGGTGAGAAATTATCTTGATTCTTGCAATTGGTTTCGCTGAGGGAAATGGTTTATCTAGTATGATTGTGTGTAAGTTTTCAGTTAGCTCTGAAATTTTGAGTGGTTTTTGAGAATTTAGTTTGAAACTTTAGGTCGGTTGATGATAAAACTGAAGTTTTTTGGGGTTTGGAGCTTTAAAGTGTGAAGCTTTTGTGGTTTTTTCAATGTGGATGCAAAAGTTAACAGATCTTGGTGATTTTGGGAATGTAGGACTGGATTATGCAGACCCGAAGAAGAAAAACAATTACTTGGGAAAGATTCTCTTGACAGCTTCTCTTACAGCCTTGTGCATTTTCATGCTAAAGCAATCTCCAACGTTCAATACTCCGAGCGTGGTACAACTTCTTATTGTCCTTTGCTTGAGTTTTTAGAGAAAGAAGGATGTTACTGGTGAAGCATTGCTCAAGTTTTTTAATGTTTTCTTCATTTTTGTTGTTCTGTGTTTACTTTTTGCAGTTTTCTCGACATGAGCCAGGGGTTACACATGTTTTAGTCACTGGTGGTGCTGGGTATATTGGTTCACATGCAGCTCTAAGGCTTCTAAAGGAATCATACCGAGTGACGATTGTGGTATGTTCTTTGGCTTACATGGATTTAAGTTCCTTTGTCCAGTATTATTTTGAATGTCGATATCACAATTAAGTAAATCTCTTTCTGTTTAACAGGACAATCTATCACGTGGGAATCTCGGCGCAGTCAAGATTTTGCAAGAACTGTTTCCTGAACCTGGAAGGCTTCAATTTATTTATGCTGAT